GCTAATATAATTGTTCGAAATGATAGTGCGAACGCTGGAGGGTTAAGATACGAGCCTGGTGGAATCGTTCATGTTACTACAACAATGGCATAACTCGGAATTATTTCTTTGCACTGACATTTCCGTGTTTGGCTCCCTGTTCACAGTATTCGTTATTTCCTTAAAATTTCTAACCACCTAGTTTTAATCTAGTGGCTAAATTGTGAATATTAAGCTTCCCCGATAAACTTTTTCTTTTTCTGTGAAATTTAACTGAAACCATGTTGACATATTACAATCAAATCAGTGGAAATGACAACAAAGGGTTAAGACTCTTAATTCTCTGTTAGAACCGGAGTATACATAAAGGAACTAAGCGACAGTGAAGTGGATTAATGTTCTCAGAATATGAGCTTCAGAAGTGCCCTGCCATACAGTGATCCCTGACTGGATTTTTTTGGTCATAATTCTATAACTCAGTTATTTTTCATCAGAGTTCCTTGATTTGTTTTTTTTCGTTTAATAGCAACACTACTAAATATACTCCATCATCTGAGCAATGAATATATTATCAGAAATAATATATGAAAATACAAAAATAAATGACACTGTGATGGGCAGGAGTGCCCAGAAGGTGGGTTTATGGAGCAAGTTGATGTTGCCTTGTTTTATTGATGGCGATCAAAATTTTGAGGGGGAGGGGCACGTTTTGACGTGATTTTAATTTTTTTGAGGGGGCACCTTTTGATGGGTTTATGAATTTTGAAATGAAAAGATTCAAATCAAAGACAAGAAAGCATGGAATAGACCGCAGGGTTATACACTGCAATTGTATATAATCTACAATTTTTCTAATTCCACTTACGCTTTTTTTTTTTTTTTTTTTTTTTTTATATAGAAGAGTAAAGCAGTACAATATCTGGGGGGGAGGGGTGCGCCATTGGCATTGGGGGGAGGGGCATCTCTGGTTGTAGGTAGATAACGTGAGATATCTTATTATAAAATTTAATTTTTTTTTTTTTCAAGGATTATAAATTCTTGCTTTAGCTTCTAAATACAAAATTCACAGCACATCACATTTACTCTAAGACCAGAAACATGCCCTCCTGTATACTTAGACAACATACCGATTCCACAAACAGACAGAGTACAATACCTAGGCCTTACGTTCGATAGGAGAATGACATGGGGTCCACATGTGAAGAAAAAACGAATCATATTAAATCTAAGACTAAAATTGTTACATACACTGTTAAGACGACCTTCCAAATTAAAAGCAAGACAGAAACTAAGTATTTACACGTATCTTTTAAAACCTCTTTGGACTTACGGACTACAAATATACGGAATTGCAAAACCAACTCACATAAATAAACTTCAAACTTTTCAGTCTAAGATACTACGACTAATCACTCAAGCACCATGGTACGTAAACAATCACACTTTACACACCGACCTACACGTTCCGACAGTCAATGAACACATACGAACGTACTACAAACGATTTCATACCATGTTAAACGGGCACTCCAACCAGCTGGTAAAAGAAATGGCCACAACTAGTATGCCCGAGAACTCCAGAAGACGACTAAAAAGGGTCTGGATGAGGGATCTGCTTAAATAATGTTAGTAAATAAAAGCCATGGAAGGGATACCGCTGGGTATTGCTATTCCTCATGCCTATCAAGCCTTTTTTATTTATTTATTTTTTATTTTATTTTATTTTTCTCTCATTACTAAGCCAGCACATCTGCTGATTGTCAATAATAATTGACAGGTGCGGATAAATAAATGTAAGTGCAAAAAAAAAAAAAAAAATACAAAATATTTTCATTTTTTTAATACTTGTACATGAAACAGGATTCAGGACTCTAATGCAAAATTCAGTATCAAATGATTATATCTTAGCTTATTTTTTATTCTTCTTACTTGCGCCATGAAACCCCTTTCTGGGCAATAGCAACATAAATAAATTTTAACGGTTATTTGAAACTGATGTTGCCAATGGATCTAAACGTTTCTGAGTCTGTTTATAAGCCTATTGAGGTCATTAAATTTCTGTCAAAAATCATCTGAATCGGACACGTTTTAGAAAAGTTACAATGTATTGTTTTTTCTACGCTGATTTTAATGGCGGTTCACTTGTCGGTTTTCATTGCTTGGTTCAACCAAAAAATCGTACCCTAATGATTTCTCTGATAAGTTTTTAGAAAAATGAATTTAATTCATTTTTTTTTTCTAATGCACATTTTTTTTTTAAAACAGAGAGAAAAGTCATATGAGTGGACATACCATAGTTTTTATTTAAATCATTGTATTGATTGTTTTTACAACTAATCTACATCATTCCATCTAATGGAGGGGGGGGGAGAGAGAGGGCTATCATTTCTTGACAATTGTCTCTAAAGTATTGTAAAGTTAATTTTACTAATTTGGTTGGAGTTTGCTATGTCTATGTCAATATAACCTCTAAATATGGCTACTCTGTTTCGTTTTTATAAGAAATAAAGTAATATACATAACAAATAGCACTAATCTAATAGATAATTGCTAGACCAAGACTGATTGTGCAAAACCAAGACCAAGGTTTGTTGATGTCCAAACCAACCAAGACCAAGACTTTCTCAGTTTCATCTTGGTCTTGCGTTTGGGCAACACTAGTGATTTATAGTGCTTAAATTACATTAATTAATTTAATGAGCAAACATTTCAGAGAATTTTCGCAGATAAAAAAGTTGTAGTTTGCGATAAGATGAAGCCATTCAGACGGCTAAATGTTAATAATTTGATAAAAAGAGATCTGTACCGTGGAATGTAATTCAGCTACTGAATTATATCACTTAAGAAAATAATATATGAAAATTATTTCTAAATGTATGATTGCTCCTGTAAACAGTTCTTTTTGAGAGGAGGAGGCAGACATCCAAGGACCTCATAAATGTTATTTTTTACAGTTTCTCCCTTTGTGTTCTAGAATAATTATTGTTACATAAAAATAAAATATATTAAAAAAAAGAAGTTTTACAACTCTTCGGAATTGGGCATCAAGTGTATTTTTATTTTTAAATTTTTCATTATGTGAATAAGAGAGGTTTTATTATACAAGCACTTTTATACCATTTAAAATTTTGGTACTAAACTACAGACATTGTCTTTATTTATTGATCGAAAAAAGTTGAAACCATCATCTATAGCTTGTGACCCTAAACTTATTCTTCGTTTCTCGAATCTTTTTCACTTGAAGACAATGTGTGTTGGATCCTCCAGGCATTGGCATGTTGAATAGTAACCGCTCTTATCTTAGACGCATGATGTGTAGAAATTTATTTATTCTCTCATCATTTATTCTAATCCTGGTCAGCTTTACTAAGCTAGAGCGGTCAAGATAAAATGTAAGTCACAAACTATGGATCTAGTTTTATCTCCTGTTGAACTTGATGGTCCATAAATATGTTCATAAATGCAATTGTAACTATCATTAAAACGGTGGAAGCTAAATTAATCCAAGGAGTAAGAATAATGAAAATCAATAACACGCACTCTCACTGATTTGAACGATAAATGAAATATCGGATCTATTTGTCCATTGGTAGGACTCAGGCGAATCTTTCGGACTAAAGCCTCCTTCCCCAAAAATGATAAAAAATAATCATGTCTTATGAAATGAATATTAAAAAATCACCTTTAAAAGTATTATTGTTCGTGTAATTACATTTAATAGGAATTCCAGAATCACTTAATCGTCATTTCATATAGGGAATTAGTTTCTTTCTTCTTCTTTCAAAGCAATAATCGTCATATATAAAAGCTTTCAGCCTGAAGCCCCCCTGAAATTAAATCCTGGATTCCTAATTAATTATTCATATTGAATTTTATAGGAATAAATTGAATTTATGAAGTCATTAAAATATGTAATGACCTACAGCCTAGTACATCACTTTGTATATGCAAACTTTACTTTTTAGGTTTTTAGCCATTAGAACATGAAGAAATAATATTCAAAATAAATTAAACCAATTGAGTAATAATTGATGAAGAAAATTAGATAGTTTATTTTCAAATATTTATGATGTGTAAAACTTGCTTACAGTAAATTTTCAGTAACCAAATTTACAAAATATAAACAATACAAAATTGAACTTTGTTTCAGAAGAATATATAAATGAATACATTTACTTAAATTATGTGATAGAAAGTTGATTAACTTACAATAAAATACTTGAATTACATCCAAATTTTATCTCAAATCATCAATCTAAAGTAAATGTATAACTTAACATTTTATATAATCAGCCTTTTTTTTTAATCTCCTTGAAAAAAAAAGAAAACACAATAAAAATCAATCAGACAATCATTGAAAATCACAAACATTTAATTCTCAATGAAATTAATTAGTTATTTGTTTGTAGGTACCTCAGACATAAATTTCATTTAAAAAAAAAAAATTCAATATAACAAAGTATTATAGCAAAATTCATAAGCTAATCTTCACTCCAATACCATGATCACCCCTAATGTGTGAATGTGCATGCAACTATTTAAAAATAAAAATTTAAAAATAAAAAATTAAAAAAGTCAAACATGTCTTTTAAAATGTTAAAGCAAAAAAAAAAAATAATAAAAAATTTAAATACCTAACAGAACTAAATATATGGAAAATATTTAAATATCATTATTAAATAGAGAAACTATTAATAATTTAACTTAATTTACACAACAGTAACAAATAAAATTTTCGATAAGATTAATTCACAAATAAAAAAAAGTTACAATTATATACAAACACATATGTACAATTAAGGTATTGAGTTTTTAACAGTGTACATTTCTAAATTGAACACACACAATACTCCACCACCAAACAATTCGCTAATTCAGAATAGGTTCATCAAGAAAAACAATTCCGTGATTATACAAATCAAAATTATACACAGTGGAAAAAATCGAGAATATTTCAACTCATCTAGCATACTAACAATCCAACTCTTCAAAATATAAATCAAAACAATTTCACTTCATAATCACGAAGTTTTATTTGGGGTTTGAGGAGACTCAGGCCAGAAGAAATTGGGGATGTTAGGCCCATAATAAACTTTGGCATTAGAAGCAATCGCCTCTGTTCGTTTTAGTTCAAGATATTCTGGGGTAAGGAGCAAACGATTAGCTTCAGCTTGTTTTTGTACTTGATAGAAATCAGCATCAGTCCTGCTTCTTTGTTTTGCTACATGGATTAAATCTGAAAGAAAATAAACAATAAACTTTTAGATAATATCAAGAAATAAACTGGAAAACTGAGGTGAATGTACTTTTTTACTTTCATTTACATATATATGCAATATATAGTAAGGGAAAGTATTGTGATCATGAAAATATCTGAATCTAACCAAGTCCTGCAAAATGGTCTTTGAATGTATGTAAACAGTCTAGCTCAAAAAGTCGTACAAAAGTGAAATTGCATATTTAAAGTTTTGATATGCCTCGGATGTTACGGCTAGTTTTTCATCAAAACCGGAAATGGCACTTCATATAATCGATTTAACACATTTTTACAATTCTCTCAAAAATGGCTTCAACAATTTTGATTGAATTCATTATAGCAGTGTAAAATGTAGGTTTTATTTTCATTGATGTTCTCTAAGAGGGCTTAAATGGCTAATTTTAAAAAAATGTTCCTCTAAAGCACCTTTAATTTTTTTTATTTGAAATTATTAACCATTTCATATTATAAACTGGTGTAAAGAATGGTCAAATATAATTAATGAAAAAAATGTATTGGTATCTAAATGAGAAATAAGGGTTGGAAGCTATAAGGAAACAGCTGAGAGCACTCTACTGATACCTCCTCCCCCCTCCCTAACAGATATCTGATACTTCTCTGTGCAGGGTTTACATATTGTTAGTTTAATTTGTATATATCACTTATCCATAATTTGTTTAAAGGGTTTTAAAACTAAATGTTGATGATCTACTAATATGAACCAAATAATATATAGTATTTACAAAAATTAAGTTATTTTTTCGACGAGTTTTGTGATAAATATTTCTGATAAAAGTAGAATTTTTCCAAAAAATTTATTTTCTCGCATAATTATTAGTATTTTTTGATACTATATTAAGGTTGGCAAGTGAAAGTTGTGGTCACATCATCGCACCAGATTTTTTAAAACTTAATTTAACTATTCATTTGCGATTTCAAATTTATGAAAACAAATAATAAGGCTTAGTTTAAAATTATATATCATATGTATTCATAGAATTAAACTATTCATTAGTAAACCAAAATTAGTTACTCTCTCGAAGGTTAAAAAGAATTTAATGCTGTTATTTATTCCATATAAGTGCAGAAAGTGTTAAAGTCAATAGATCATCAACCCATTCCAGTAAGTCTACGTTACATTTAATAGATCTGCCACCAAAACTCAAAAACAGGAATCTTAATCGGTTGAGTTTGGATGGAGATGTAGAATAATATAGTGAGTTTGACATTACTTTTGATGATATTAAATAGTTATGATGGAAAATAAATAATCTAAATGAAAGTGAAACACAATATTGATAATGTTTAAAAGAAAATTGATTTTTCAAGTACTTTTTAATAATTTTTATTTTGTTTATTACTACTGTCTGCCCCAAAGGGAGCAGGTCAGGAGGTCACAATAAGGTTGCTAAAGTAACTAAGACAAACAAGAGTGATATTTTGTTTTGTTTATTAATGTAAAAAAAATACCATAACAAGTCCTAAGATATAATAAAAGCTTTATAACAGATATTTTTTTAGGAAGGGCTCATAAGTTAATTTAAATATGAATGTCCTGAGAACCAGGTTCCTAAAAATGATTAACGTACCTTCAATTTCAGACATTCTTTGATAAGATTCCTTCTCCATTATCTTTTGGTCGAATTGAATTCTGGATACTTGAGCAACTTTTTCTGCTTCGATGATCGCTTTCTTTCTTTCAGTTTCAGCATCTTTTTCAACAACTTTCTGGTGTTCATGAGATATAAGTAGCTTCGTTTTTTCATTCTCCCTGAAATTGAAATAGTTTTAGATTTACAGTTACCAGAAATCGTTCCTCAATACAATAAGAACTATAAACTCACATCAGTTCATAGTTCTTTCTGATTGTTTCAGGAATTTTGGGCTTAGTAACTCTAACTGCTTGAATTTTAAGTCCTGGGGCCATTTCATTTAAATCCCTTTGAAGAGCATTTTTCAAATTTTCATCAATCTGATCAAAAAGATCTATGTACACCTATAAAAAAAATTAAATTAAAAAGATTTATCTTTGATCATTAAAAAAAAAATTATATTTTTTGATAATACCTCGTGTAAATTATGGACGCTACAGAATTGATTCAATTCATGATGCACCTTGTTAAAAATCAATGTCTTATCATAGTCAGCAGTATAATTTTTCACAATATCATATACTGTAAAATAATAAACAAATAAATACTAATAATTCCTGAACATGAATTAAAATTCTTAGGATAGAAATATACCACTTTCTGATGATAGATGATTAACTACTTCTATTCTATCAAAATAAATCATAACACCGCCACTAGTGCCACAAGGAACATTTTTTACCTCATCAGTCTGTAAGGTTACCTAAATTAAGTAAACAAAATTATTAGTCAGAAAGTTCTGAAAAAGCATGGTTTAGTTATCCTTGCATTTAGAATAATACCTGAACTGCCCGAAAAGAAGTAATAAATGGTATCATCATGTGAAAACCTGGTTGACTAGTAGCAGAAAGTAGTGCACCGCCCTAGAACAGTCCAGAAATGTTAATTGTTAAGAGTTTGTTTCTTTATAAAATTATCTGAATTTTAAGTATTTCTGATAAAGAACACTTACTCTATAATAAACAGCAACATGACCTTCTTCCACCCTATGAATGGAAAAGTTTGCTACCAGGGCAAAGAATACTATCATACCACCAAGTATAGCACTTGTCTCAACCATTTTTAATACTCAGAACAATATAGGATATGGATTACTTAATATGGTATACAATCCAATGAATTTTGAAGTTGTTTGCGTAAGAATCAATAAACTGGATTATGTTAACAAACAGAGATCATCTAGTAATGCAAGTACTCAAAATTAATGCTGAAAGAATAAATATTCTAGAAACCTCCTCATTCATACTACTTCTTATTTTCGACTACAGCATTATAAGCATAAACAAATCCCACAAATTCTAGTTCACATTCGATAAGAAGGCACTCGAGGTATCAATTCCTAATCATTAGAACACCGGTAAGTCGATTTTCCTTTCATGGTTATCAGTGGCAAAGAATCGATTAAATCGATATGACCCTTGAGGTCATAAAAGTTAGCTAAAAGCACTTATATTAAATTGCTATTATTACCTATCTAGGTCATATTATGGGTTAACGAAGCTCTAAATGAAAATCAGTATATTTTGGATATTTATTTTCAGAAATAAAACATAAAATTGATATTGGAGCATTACATTTGATAGAAAATCGATGTTTACTGCTCTCTGTAGAAGTCTTCATTAACTTTTTTTGTTGTGGTGATAAGAGATAGTAGCCTATTTATTTAAAAGGTACGAGTTTAAAAATTATGTTAATTTAGAATGGCTGGTCAAACACCTGGGCGTAAGCATTGGAAAATATTCAGTAAGTTTAAATAATTGGCACTAGTTCCGTTAATTTCAGTGAAAATTTTACTTATATTTTTGTTTATATATGTTTCCTTCAAAATCGAAAAATGACATTTTAGGAGAACCCATTGAAAATCTTCAAAGTTTGGGATTAGCTGAAGATGGTTGCCCAGAATCTCAAGTAATTTTAGCGAAGCACCTGCTTGAAGAAAATCCTGGTAAGCTTATCATTGATAATAGGTAATTTATTTTTATTATTTTGGGATTATGTAGCTTCTTATATTGTTTGATATAGATAATCCAATTAACCAAGAAGAAAAGGCTCGATTAGGAGTTTATTGGTTGATAAAAGCTTCTGAAAAGGGCCATGAAGAAGCTACGAGAATGCTTCAAAATTGCCTTGATACTGGAAGGGGTATGTGATATAGTTTTCTATAATTCTAAGTATTTTACTTGTGTACAATATTACCTTATTTCAGGTATTAGTGAACATAACATAGATGAAGTTAGAGCTTCATTGAATATGACTCTAGGAGAAAAAGTGTCACGTGAGGCTGCAAGGGAACTGTTTTCTCGGTATTAATTTTTTTAAGTTCCTTGTGAGGTTTAAAGCTCAAGAACTTTTTTGTGAGGCTTTCTTTTTATTGTAGATTATCCCAAGGTGAAGATTTTGTTACTAGTGGTCAGATCATTGAAGAAATGCGAAGATGTTCTGATGAAAATTCTCCTTCAAGCAGCAATGGAGGTAAATTATGATATATTTCATTTTTCTGTTATATTTTGTTAGAACTATTTTCATCTACTTTTGACTTAAAATTCATTATTGATAGGAATTAATTCCCCTAAGAATTTATACCTGTAAGATATGTTGGTATAATTTTAAGAAACATTTCGAAAATGAAAAAAAATTTTAAAGCAATAATTTATTTAAAAATTTTCTCAGCAATATAGTTTATGGCAGTAAATAATAATCTTTTCCACTTATTGACAATATTTTTGAACTAATTTTTATGTTTAGGATTTATTAGGCATTTGTTTTAAAAATTATTGCAATATGAATGAAACTCTGCCAACTTAATCTTTTTTATATTTTAGGAGGTGAAGATGTACCTGATTGGAGAGCTCGAGGAGAAGGTAGTGGAGATAAGCTGACTGAAGAGATGCTGGTTGCTGCGGCAAGTCATTACTCACGTGGAGAGCTTCCGTTGGTCCTAAAGAGACCTGCGATAAGAAATTCACGATTACACCTGGCCGTAGCCAACATCGCTCGAATACCTGCAGTTCCTAACCCTTTAGTCATGCTAGCTATTTTATCTTTATTAGGTGTTGAAGCTTTGTTGGATGCCCTTCCTTCTCTTTTGTATTATTTGAGTCTCTTCTTTATGGTTTTAAGCACTTGCCAAGTTCTCACGAAAAAATGGGAATTCAACCAATTTAGGAAGTAAGTATCAATTTTATTGGCCTTATCATATTTAACTAATTGGTAATTTTGTGGCTTAATTTTTTGTTTCTATTCATAATCCTCACATATATTATATTATTAAGGCTCGAAATCAGTTTTGTAAAAAATATAATCTCCTGTAATGCTTAAATTTGAATTGGGTTAGTCTAGGAGATTTAGAAGATATCGCACTAGCAACATTTTGAAAACTTAAGTAACTTTTTATTTATTTTCTTTCATTATTTCAACATTTTGCCACAGGCACAGGTTAATAGTTACAAAAGTGCTGAATCCACAATTTCAGATTATCTAAACATTTTCTCAATATTTGGTACATTTTTTCAGTGTTGGAATCCTCCTCATCCTTACCAAAGTCAATTTTACTTTATAAATAGATGACAAATGGAGAGGTTGTTCTAGAGATACAATCAAAGCCATTCTGACCAAATTGGGAAAATCAGTATTCATTCCGTGTGTCTGCCACGAAATAAATTTCAACCTCTCCAGGCTGGATTCAAGAATGTTAACGCTCTAACGCGCTCTGTCATCGCAGTCTTAATATTAACTTGGAGGGAAGGTTACAGACCTGGGGTCACTGATTTAAATTCATCCTGGGGTCATATTTAATTATCCTTAATAAAAAAAAAAATGCTAACTGAACATGCATTTCACTACTGTTAGTGCAAAAGGTTGTATGTAAAAATTGATTGTTTTCAAGAGTTCATAAAAGCTCATTATTTCTTTATGCTTTATTAGTATAATTTCATATTTTATTGTTATCTATTATTTTCCATAGTAGCAGACTACATACATATCAGTTGCAGACTACAAAATGTCACCTTTTGCACTATTGGTAGTGATACGTACTTAATAGGTATGTTTTCACTTGTAAAATGGTCGGAACTAGAAATTCCATAGAAAAAAATTAACTTGTTGTTTGTTCGGAGTTAACGTGACCAATACTTTCCTTCAGTCAGAACAAAACGCTTTAAACTAGAAAATATAAAAATATGGGTGAAGTTCACATGACTTCGATATTTAAGGAGGAAATCGAGACCAAGACAAACTGGTTTTACTTCAATAGAAATAAACACAATCACAAATAAGATGTTTTTTTTTTTAAGACGTTAATTTCTATACTGTTCTCTAAATTTCCTCCAAGTTTAGGTCAAATCCAATGCGTCGTTTTCAAACTTTAGGCATATATAACAAATTACCTGATCTGAAAGCGGAAGTATTTTTTTTTTTAGAAGTAGATAGAATTTGATAAAAGTGATGCCTATTTCATTTTACGTTTACCGATCCCTAAATCTCCTCAAAATTTGAGTCAAATCAAACTTGCGGTTTTAGAGATATAGACGTATTAAGGAAAACACATTTGCGCATATATAAGAGAAAGGAACGGACAGAATTCAATAAAATTGATCCTACATTATTTTTTCACAAATACCTACCTTTTATCCAATTTTGAGCCAAATCGAACGAGCCATTTCTGAAATATTGGCATATCTACAAAAATGTGTTTTCCTATGCGTAAGTGGAAGTGCTGGTTAGACTTTAATAAAATTGATATGGGACCATCTAGACACCAATCTGCACAATTTCTGAAGATTTTATGAACGGTAGTAGGTGATATGCCCGTTACATCGATTTGACTACTGACACAGACACCGGACCAAATTTGATCATTGATGTCTGAAACATAGAACACGAGTGGAAATTTTCGATTCTGAGCACAACAGTTTTTTTAACCTCTTGCACAAATACAATGCTTCCCTACCTTGGGTAATGAGGAAGCAAAAAACAGCAAACAAACTTCTGTGTGCAGTTCGAAATTTCATAAATCCCCAATAAAGTTTGGAATACACACAATGGAAACCTATTTTTAACCCCTCAGTATTGAAGTAAATTTTATATCTTGATAGATACCTAGATATTATTAGGATAAATATTAAATATAAAGTATAGAGTTATATAGAAATATTACTGTTCTAGGAAAAACAGAGACTTAATTGCTTAGGCAAATTGGATGAATTTGTTTAACACATTGTTTATTCCTCAGGTGGTCAAACTTATTGGTGGCTTGGGGTTGCCCAGAGACTAGCTCAATTGATGCTCAGTGGGCTCACTGCGTTCAGAACGCGAAGCCATGCTTTGTCTTCATTGCAGCTCTCTTGGTTAATCTTCTTCTTAGCTCAAGCGTCCATGACATTCCTTACTCAGAGATTACTATTCTCTCTACTTTCATGTCTCTCTTGACTCTGTATAATTTGGCCGTAAGTTTACTTTATGTTCTTTTTATGTATTCAGCTTTACAAAAGCTTATATAATGTCGTAGATAACACTGAAAATCAAATGAAAAACCATCATAAAAAAATTATATTGGTGGTTTTGCATACTTATAGAAACATAATGCTGCTTTTTTTGTCGGTACGCCATAACTTCGTCAATTCTTCATCAAATCCAATGATTGACCACTCATTTTATTTTGAAGATATTGTTCTCCTTCACATGGGAAAAGTAGTCCTATTCCCCCGAAATATTCGGGAAAAAAGTTATGAAGGAAAAGAAACTTTTTTGCGAATAAATCAAAAAGTATGCATTTTTTTCTTGTTTGCATTTCATTTGATTGTACCCATGATAATTAGAAAGATTGAAAAAAAATTGTAAAATTCGAACAATTATTAACAAAGATACAGTCCATTAGTTTTGGTATACTCAATAATGTCTTCCTGCTTAAAGATATTGCATTTAGGAGTGGAATAGTCTACTACACTTTTTTCCCTGGCTTTTATATTAACTTTATTATTTCTTAAAGACATTTGGTTGTTCTTACATTTTATTTTTTTTAATAATTTAGAATATCCTATGATCGGGGCATTATTTTGTCTTTATTACTTTTATTATCTTTCCAGTCAGTGTTTAAAAATAGATCCAAGCAAAGCAATTTGTATTAATATTTTATTCTATTATGTTTAATGGAATATTGTAATCAACTATGGAAATAATATTAATTCCTTCCTTACATATTACATAGGAACTACTTATTTCCATATTGTTTTAATATTTCTTCACTAAACAAAATTATCTGCGAATTTTTTGCACGGGCCAACTAGTGATTATATAAAATAAAAATATTAAAAGGTTAATTTTATTAAATTTTGAAAAACTTAATTTTGCCTCATGTAATATATTGGTTTATTTATGAATTTGTAAAATAATTAGTGTATTTTATAATATCTCACCGACCCAAATACAATAACGCAACAATATGAATGTTTATTTATCCGTGTACAAACATGAGTTTATAGGAATGTTTATTGGTTTTATTTTCCTTTAACTTGCATGGTATCAAAAGTCATTGAGGTGAGGTTGAAGACATTTTATGTATATTTCTTAATTCTTTGAAAAACAATTATATTTATATTTCTATAATATTGTTCGAAATTAATATCCAAAATGTATCCATTACGATCTACTGTTCAACCACAATGTTCAACCATCGTTCAATAGTTGTTAAATGCCACGCTGGTTTTCCACTCCTTAGAACACCTATTAAAAAAGTCTTGCATCAAAATTTCAACTTCTGCAAAATTATTAACTTTGTTCTCTTGAAGAAAGTGGACCATAGAATGAAATAAGTGATAGTCCGATGGAGTGGGATCTGGAATATATGGTGGGCATTGGCTGTTCAATCCTAGGAAGATTATTCAACTTTTCCTTAATGCAACTGGAAGTGCGTGGCCGAGCGTTATCCAGCTGGAATAGAGCACCTTTACGTCAAAGTTGGATCATGCTGTGATAATTTTGCATGCATCAATATTTTGCTGCAAAGTTCACAGTTCGTATATACAATGTCAATCAAGAAAAAATTGGTAATGAATTGCTCCTTCGTATTTCCAAAAAAGTACAGCTAGGATTTTTTTTCGAACTGTCCCCTGACAAGAACAGAATGATCAGTTTGACGTTATAAAACCATTCAAACACAGTTAACATCACAATCAAAATATTTTGGTATGATCTCATTTATGAATTATTAAAGAGAATTTCACTAATTTCTATCATCTTGTCAGATTTTTGCAATTGCAGATTGTAGCTAAATTTGATTCAACAATTGCAGTCAATGACCTCTGCTGGTCACCCTTAGCCCTTCTATTCTTCCATAGAAGTATCTCACTCCAGAATTTTTGGGACCAGTGCCAGGTTATACAATATTTAAAGACACCCCCACATTCATGATGTGATATCCTTTAACGGCTGTAATATATTTTTTCTTACAATGTCTTAATATTGTGAGTATTTTATAAGGAATCTATATTCTCCATCATATTTCTTTTCCAACTGCTACTGATGACCTAAGATTTTTTTTCATAAAAATCAAATGTTTTAAAACAACCTTACTTAATCCTTCACACCAGAGTATGGTTTGAAGTATTCAATAGGTTTCAAATATGTATTGATATTTATTGATAAAAATTTGATAACTTTTTTTTTTATACTCAATTATCTTACCTCTATATTTAGCTTCTTTTTTTTTTTTTTAACTTATTATTATAATTGTAATTGGCAATCATACTGTGTTTTAGTGGCGCAAGAAGAAGTTTGACTTTGTTGTTTTAAGTTCATTTGTTGTTCACCTTCTTGCCAGATATCCATATGAAATAGACACTGTTGTTTCTCAGTACTGGAGGTACCTTGATGTACATACTCCTACGGTAGCATCTTACATAGTTGGTAATTTTTTTTTCAGTCTAATATTTTAATTCTTTTATCTTAACGTTATCATCTAAGTTTGGTTATTATCAGGGCACATTTTCTGGAACATCAACAGTTCTAACGGTGTTAATTTAAGTAGAGCTTCAATTATCAAAATAATCAATTATAATTATTTAATTATAAAAAATGTTGATTATGATTATTTAAAAAATACCAGCTATAGCTAATGTATGTATTTTGAATATAGATTGACCGCAAATAATCTCTTTTTGAAAATAATGTTTATAAATAACATGCTGGAAAAGAAAAATTAAGAATCTAAGTAAAGTAAATTTTCAAATTGAATCAAACATTCTTAAATATAGTGTTCTTCATAAATAACTAGTATCATAATATCTTTAAAATATTATGATGTAACTTTGAAATTTGAATATATTTGCTTTAATTTTACCTATATTTTATATAATATAATTACACATATATTTTAAATAAAAAATAAAGTCACCATATCTATGTTGATGATTTCCAAATATACCTGTCCTTCCCGCCCTCCGACCAATTATCAGCCTCAGAAAAACTTCAAGAAGACTTGGATAAGATTTGTGACTGGGCGAGAGCCAACAAGTTGAAGTTGAATGCGGAAAAGACAAAGGCAATCTTAATTGGCTCCAATCACCTCCTTAAAACTGTTCCACATATTCCAACTATTTTCCTACATGATAATCCCATCAAATTTTATCCCTCTATCAAAAACCTTGGAATAACCTTCGAGCAAACTGGAAAAACCATGTATCCAACAACTCCTGCCATCCAACCATTTCCACCTTAAAATGCCTAAATTACTTCCGCCACTTATTTCCCCTTGAAACCTGTAGACTCCTGGTCACTTCCTTAATTTTTCCCCACTTTGACTATTGCTGTACGGTATAAGGGGGCGTCTCTGGAGATTTTGAGGCGAAACTAAAACGCTTGATAAATTGCTTTGTACGATTCATCTTCGGGATCCCAAGGGATGCCTCTGTTTCCCCGTTTTTATGTAGAGTTGAAGTGGCTTTACCATTCCTACCGTCATAAGTATTTCCTGGTATCCTTCCTCTTTCAAGTCATCCAATCCCACCGCTCTTCATACATCTCCGAGCTCCTCCAATTCAAATCCTCTGTTCGTTGCCGCAATACTCGTTCCAGGTCTTGTGATTTATATATAAGGGTCCACCGAACTGCTGCTTTTGACAGATCGTTCATTATCCGATCCTCATCCTTATGAAACTCCATCCGTCAATCCAATACCCTTCCTACCTTTAAATCCCGCCTGTTCAATCATTTCTTATCCATCCAGTCCCCATAAAATTGTAAACAGATACCACTGTAAATATGTATATAAATTATTAGATTGTTCTTCATTATTTTTACTTTATTTTCAATTTTTTATTATTAACTTAGTTAAGTTAGAAAGTAACTTATAATTTGTTAATATGACTATTTCATTACTCAACATTTCTTTTTATGTACCTCTGAGGCTCCTTAGCCCACATTACTGTCCTTATGTTTTATTCTAAAAGGACTCGTCCCAGAATAAATAAAGTATTATTATTAAATTTGAAATAGTTGAATTAAATTTTTTATACTTTTAAAGATAATAGCTGATTAGTCGTAAATGAAAAAAATTTATATGTTCACTTCTGTGAGACTATGTTTTTTATTTTATCATGATTACTAAAAGTTCTTTTTGATTTTTTTCCCTATGAAAATTAATTCCATTGAATGTTATTTCAGGTAACAGTGTAGAGTTCTGTTTGAACTTCCGTTTGTTATTTTATCTTGCCATGCCTGTGTTGTTTGTTGCGATGGCCTCGAGAGAACGCTGGCTGGGAACATTTACAACTTTATTGCCACATTTAGTATCACTCTCTTGGTGGCAGATGGCAGTAGTTGCTTCTAATGGTACTTTTGTAAATTTTTATCATTTGCTTAAAATTTTCTTATTTTATATTAAAAATCTTGCTATGATCTACAGGTGTAACTCAGTATGGACTGATTCGCACATTCTTGGCTTTGATCGGCCTTGTGATCTTTATTCCATTAGCCAGTGTATTAACTGTCATCATTCCAATTGCAACTCTGGCTAGATTTATTTCAACGCACCAGATATCAACTCCGTTTGCTCTAGCCTGCGCCTCATTGATAACTGTCATCTATATGGGAACCAAACATCGCAGGACTGGGCCTTTGTTTTCTTGGGTCCAGGTAAAATCATTTATTCTTTTATATCAGCCATACCACTCTGTAATCTTGGTTAGAACAAATCATGACAATTTTTCGGAATAGTTGTTAGTATAGCTATAAAATATGGAGAAAGCATAAATATATTTAAAGTTACAGCTCTTCATAAGGCAACTTGCTAGCATGTATAATGCAGTCTTAGTTGTGTAACCTTTGGTAATCTGAATACTCCAGTAATCCAAACTAAATAAAACAAAAATATTTTAAAATCGCAATATATCTACTAATAGTGCTTCGATTTCGATGAAACTTCTTTCATTTTTTAGGAAATTTAAATACCTTTGAAACATCCTATCACAATATCTACAAAAAAGTGTATACTTTTCGAGTTATTCGGAATTTAATTTTACCATCCCTCGTAAATTTTTTTCCAGCTTCTTTTTGTTGAAGTATGTTATATATTTATAATTTATATATTATAGATAAATTTAAAGGGTGTTGAGAAAATGACTAAAGAAGTTTCATTGAAATCTGTACATTTGTGTAGGCACTACAGTCTATAGCAACGCAGGTTTTTCTGCATTTTGTTTTTTCTCCTTTATTAACTTATCAAATTCTTTCAAAAGTTATATGTAGCATTTTTTCATAACTCTGAATAATGCGAAATGATTAACTTTTTAAAATAAACCATATTAAAGGTACTTTAGAGGAAGACATATATATGAACAATGGGCATTTACCCTGTAAAATGACATCAACGGGAATAAGACCTAAATGATATTAAAGACCACTTAATTATACTATGATACACCGACTTTAATCAAAATCGTTAGAGCCGTTTTTGAGAAAATTGTAAAAATGTGTTTTAGCGTTCATATAAAGTGGCACTTCCGGTTAATCGATTTTAACGAAAAAGTTACTGTCACATCCGGTTCATATACAAACCTTAAATACTTAATATCAGTTTTGTACTACTTTTCGTTTATGAGCTAGACTGTTAACACACTCACAGACCATTTTGCGACACTTGGTTATTTGGACTCAGGGGACCTCAAAACATGTATTTCCGTTGAAAACTGAAATTCGAAAATTTTCACAATCGCAATACTTACCCTTACTATATATTACATATATACGTAAGTGAAAGTAAAAATTAAATTAAATAAAAATATAGAAATAAATTCCTAAACGAATTTACAAACATTCCTTTAACTAACATCCCAAAATACTCTCTTTTGCTTGGTTATTATTTTGAGAATACCTCACCGTCTTTTATGAAAGTATAATGACACTAAACTTTGAAAGAGCAGTGTCTTATTTCAATCACTATATTTGATAAGAAATACGGTAAAATAAAACGATACAACTATTGCAACAAATCATTCTCTTATGTCTAAGAGAAGAAGCAGTGAAGAAAGATGTCCAAGAGTCAATAGAAACAAAAATAACCAAGTTATTTAAAAAAATAATGATATAAATAAAAGTTCAAAGTTCTCAACTGAGTATACTCACATGTACGTAGTGGTAATTATTGAGTTTTAATCTCTATAGTTTTATAAATAAATAGTTTTACCAAACATCCTCTATAATCTGGACGCTCCCATGGATCAGTTAGTTCATATTGCTCAGATAGCACTGCAGATATAATCTTTGTTGGTTACATTTTTCAAGTAGTGAAAGGAGAATGGAATATTTCATTTTTATCGATAAAAAGAAAGTCTAAAAATTCTTGTTTTAGGAACACCTCAGATTGTTTCAAGCTCTACTTATCTTGTAATAACAAGCAAATAAATTGTTTCGCTGACAAAGAGAGAGAAATCAAAGCAAGAATGACTCGTTTTGTTAATTAATGAACATCTTGAAAATTAGTTATTTGTAATACCATAAAGGCTTTATAAATTGATTAAATTACTAGTTAATCTATTTCGACTATTATATATGAAATATGAACACTCAAAAACAGTTCTGCTAACTATATATTCAAGTTTGGACAGGAAATCCTGTTAATAGATGATAGGTCTTTATTTAAGGCACAAACTCCAATTCTAGAAAGAACAAGGTCTACTTAATATTTGATTGTATTGTCTAACTTTGGGGAGCGGGGTACCTCAGTGGTAGGGCACTGAGCTTCCAATGCAAAGGTCCCGAGTTCGAACCCCGGCTCATGGCAGATAATTTATTTATCTGTTTCATTGGCCGTGGAGCGACCTTGGGTCAGGAGTCCCTCCTGGGGCACACCCAGCCTCTATAAAGTGGGTACCCTTAATTAAATAATTGATTAAGGGGGAAAACCTGGCGGTTGAGCGTGATCTCGGTCAAATCACCTCCTTGCACAACCGTTGACCTAGAAACAGTGCTTTCCCTAAATAGTACTGAACCCCAGACCCTTCAGGGGTTGTAGTGGTACAGGTTTTTTTTTTTTTTTTTTGTCTAACTTTGACCGATTATAACCATATACTATAATATAACCTTTGTAACTATTGTCTTAATTAATCAAAATGAAAAGCAGTTTGCATTTATTTATTTAGTTTTTATATTTCTTTTAGGTTCTCCTGACTATCCTTAGTATATGGTTTCTTCTCCATTGTGGTGAGACTGAAAAAGTCGAAACTGGGTTTGATTGGAGGGAATTTCAGAACATTTGTCATGGAAAGAAGATTGCTGATCAAGAGAATTGTATTTCACTCGCAGGATCTCGTGTTTCCTGGGAAGGAAGGGTTCTTTCGACGCAGGTCACTTCTGTCCATAACCCGATAGCACCCTTTATCTATCATCTTCCTCAGGTAAAGTTTAAATAAATATGCTTTATTTTTGTTTTAATCCCTAAATGGGATAAGAAGAATTTACAGTATTAAATTCTGTTAAAATGTTTATTTTCTTCAAAACTGATAGTAGCACTAAAACTGTGCTTTCTTTACATTCCTAAATCTTCTGAAGACTATGTTCCTTTCTCAAATTTTTGAGATAGAAAGAAAAAATTTGAATCCTTCAAAGATTTGTATCCTGCAGAATCGTTTATTCCCAAACAGAAAAATATACATTTGGATTTAAAAATTCTTCAAGCCATAGTCGATTTTTTTTTAAATACACACATCAATACAATCTAGATAAGGGATTCTAGTGCTGAATATCTTATTGTTTCTATTGAATATTTCAGAATAATGACTAAACAATTTTTTTTAAATTATTAAATTATGCTTCTATAAACACTTCCAATGACTAAGTTTTCTAATTTATTTATTTATTTTTCCGTTGACTCTATCCTGCAGGGTCATTGGTAGCACCCTTTATTTACACTCTGTTGTAGAAATTCATTTTTTTTTTAAATTCAAATGTTTTTTTAACAGCTATTTCTCTGTGTCATTCAAGATTTCTTTTAGGTTTTTTGGTATGTCCAACTTTTTCCTAAGAGTTTCAGATATAGAACAGTCTTGTATGATATGTTTCACTTTCCTTTGCATATTGCAGCTCTCCCATGTTGGAGGATCAAGTCCTCTTAATAGGTAGGCGTGCGAAAACTCACAATGCCCAATTGTTAGTCTGCAGAGTGCTATCTCTTCTTTCCTGGAAGACCAATACGAGGTTTTCCATTTTGAGCAGTGGGTATTAATTAATTAATTATTAGTTTTCTAATTACTCTGCTTACAAAGTAATTGTAAATTTTATGCTGAACAGCACATCTGTCTCATTCCAAACCTCAATCGAAAACCTTGAAGTCACCTTTCACCTTACCCTCTTTACCATAGCAATCCTCAAACAATGCAATCAACGTCATTATCACCTCCCATGTAAAATCCGTCGAGTTTTGTCCTCTCCACTTTAACTGTCTGGTGGATGACAGACTCTCTGGTAAACTTGAAGCAAGATTAAAATGGCTTAGGTTTGTTTTCTGAATCGCTGTTTTGTCTTCTCTTTCATTTTAAGCTATAATGCAAAGAAATCCACATGAACATTATTTATTTGTAGAGATTATAGAACAATATTTATCTGAAGTAAGAAGCAGAACAGTGCTCATCCTAATCAGAGGATGGTTTGAGAGGAAGATGAATATGGCTGATGCCATCATTTTGAGAGGAAAGACAAATGGGGCACTTGAGTTCATCATGCAAGTAAAAGGAGTAAGAATGAGTCCATGTGAGATAGTCAGCTAGCTGTGAATGAGGATTAGGAAAAACTTCAAGGAGGCACTACTTTGGAAAAATGGTATCGCTATCGTCAATAAGACCTAAGTAGTTAGTGGAGCATCTCTTTTCTCCTCAGATACCCATTAAAGGTTTAATTTACTTCCAAGATTTGTATCTATGGTCTGGTGAAAATCATGAATATCACTCAATTAATAGGAACCAAAAAAAATTTTCCTAGTACAGTTTCATATTCGTCCTAAAAAGACTTAATATCATACGATGATTATAGTTATTTATTTTTCATTATTTTAGGGAATACAGGAAGTAATTGTTTGTATGTGGGGAGAGAGGTTTGAAGACTGTACAGGAAAAGAGCATTGTAGAGTTCCTTCCAGCTTGTCGAACAGGTGTCACCTTTCTAATTGGAATAAGTAAGAGAGCATTTATTTATTCCTATTTGTAAATTTTTTCATTAGTATTATATTTGATAATTTTAATCAGTAAAAAGTATAACTACTCCTTATAAATGATCCCTAGGTTCGAAAATAAGAGTACACCTTTGGAAATAAACATTTTTATTCTGGCATAAAACTTCAAACAGATTTTAGACTCAATTTCTAATAATGAACATATACCTGACTTTTTAATAGTATAAAAATATTTATAAAAACATCACTTAAAGTGAGTTCATGGTAATATTTATGTATCTCTGTTTATTTTAGGTAGATATTTCGTTACTGGGACATAATTTCCTTTCCTATTCTTTTTTACTGTTTGAGTAACCAAAATTTTGACCAAGAATGAATTAAGTGATATCCTTGATTTTATTTTGTTGACTTTTCGATTCATCACAGCAAGATGAAAATATTAATTATAGAAGAATATGCCCAATGTTTTTGTTTCTATCTTTTAAAATAATTTCTAGGTATGAATACGAAATAGAAGTGGAACTTGGTTCTGACGGATGGAGTCTGGATAAAACAGTTTGTATACTAAGGGGCGGCCATCAGTTCCGTAACCTGTCTGCCCTACTTCAGAGAGGTGATAAGGTCTGGTTCCTCGGGCGCATTATGGATCCAGTCGAGCATGGCTTTAAGGTGGATCTGATCCAGGCGGACTGCTTGTCATGTGAGGCGATTGATCAGTCCTCTCGCCCTGTGTCAACCTCCACGATATCACTGTCCCTTAAACCTCTTTTCAATTTTCTGTTTAATCCAATGGCCATCTTAAAGTGATAAGCCTCTTACCTGTTTAGTATTTGTTGTAAATTATAGATGTTACATTGAATGTGATATCATTGTCACTCTAGTTAGATTTGTTTCTAAATCTGAATTATAGAACTGTAATTTGTTGTTTGGCTATGCAAGAACTGTGAAAAAAATTAATTCCTCGTGTAGTATTTATTAAATGTATTATATTTTATGTGTAGTACAAGCTTAATAAGAAATGCATTCCAGTCGCCATTGCTGAGGACGGATTCTCGTTGAGTAAATGCTGTGAAATGAGATTCTAGTTATTGTTTGTGTTGTTTTACTGTGCTTTTTTCAGTTTTTAACTATAAATGGTTTATTTTTATATCACCAAAAATTACCATAAATACTAAATAAAGGGGGTATGGCTTATTGCAGTAAAGAGTAATACCTTCCCCCTCCTCTTTGCATTAGGTCAGAACTTAAATTTCAAGAGACCTACAAAGAGTTCACAATAAAACAAAACATATTTTCAATATTATATTTAATTTCTAATGAATCTTTAATGCTATTATATTTATTGATTATGAAAGTTTGAAATTATCCACCTCTTTTTTTCGTGAAAAAAAATAATTATTTTTTCTCTAGGAATTAGGAAAACAATACGAGTTATTGAAGAATTTGATGTTTGAGTAAAGTTCACTGTATTGTTGAGTAATGTGTAATGATAGTAATTATTTACATAAATGTGAAGTAAGGAAGCCAGATACCCTAATGACAGCTACTCAGAGGTTGCTGCCTAGTAGTAACCACCATGAGAGTGTCAAAATTCATTTCCCGAAACAACTATGAAATAAATATTAATTGATCCAGAAGGGAAATCGAATCCATCTTGTCCCACATCGGTCATTCTTTCACTGTAATGTATCGCTGTAAACCTACTGTTGTAACCATGTGATAAAATAACATATGGGAACTATATTTATTATTTGAAAAAGTTATAAATGTTTTAATGTAATGTTGAATAAAAAAGTATATTATCGATTTGGTCACCTTATTAAAATTATAATAATTGGTGACGAGGATGTGGAATTATTATTATTATAAAAAGTTATCAATCGTACTATACACGCGGTGTTTATTGATTTTGATTGTAGATCATTTTAAATATCATACATATAATTAAACGGTTATGAAACATTATTAAAATTAACATTTCTATTAAACATATTTTTAAAAAAACATTAGACCGTTTTATTCCTGAAGAAAAATTTTATTTAACATTAATTATAAAAATTAATCAGTAATGAATAATACTTAACAAAATTTATAATTTGTGAATTACCTGAAGAAAAATCGGTTTTTAAAGTTTGTTGTATAATTGGGAAATATAAATGATTAAACTATATGGCTTTTAATTGCAAAATAAATTCATCTAAACTTTATAGGCTCATAGTTTTGTAATCTCACGCCTTGTGCTTAAAAAACATATGTTTAATAAAACAATTGCTCTTATGATCTACCACCATTTAAAATTAAAAATGAGCAATTCACTTTTACATTATGAAAAATATTATAAATGGGAACTAGTCTGGACTCGATCTGTTTTTTGATTTCCCATCCCATTTCTTCCAATTTGTACTCAGATCAGATCGTGGGATGGGGCCTGGTTTAGTCATAGTGTCGAGAGGAACTCCGGCATGATTCCTCTGTCCTGGGTAAAACCCCATATTGCCTAATAGACAAGAAAGAGTAAAAAAAAAAAAAGGCCATCATGGCGAAGGATGACATCTGTAATGATTACACCTTGTACAATAAACTATTTTTCATTCAAGTGATTTGTTTAAAGACACTTAAAAGTTCACAAGTGCTCAGTTCTTGAATCTGTTGTGACTTACGATGGCACAGTTATTTATTTTATTACATTTTTCTGAAAGTACAATTAAATCTTTTCTAACAAGAGTGGGAAGGTCAAGATTCATTCTGTGGGGTCCACCACGAAATAGATTTCAACCCGCCCTGGCCGGATTTGAGCTGACTTCTCGAGAATGTTAAAGTGAGACAACACCTCAACACCCTCGGCCATCACGACCTCATGTCCTATCCTAAACATAGATGATCATCTTCTCCCGTTCCTTCCTGTTTTTCTCTTAGTGTGGAGATTGTCCTTACTGTGGCACTAACTCTGCTGAGTAGTGTTCTTGATATCATTTGTAGCATGTTACCATGTTTTTATTCTTTTTTAAATTTCTTATTGAACAAGATTATAGATAAATGTTTAAAAGTGTCGTGTTCGAGTACGACATAGAAAGAAAACTTAATTTCACATAAGTCATGGATCATTTTTACTTAATGCAAGAGCCGTTGTAATTAGTTGTAGGTATTAGTTCATTATACAAGATTAAAACGTGTGTACTATAATGCTACTTTTTGTTATAAGGTCACAGCTTATTAAGTATTCAAATGGGATTTTTATTATAAGGGGGAAAAAAGAATGGCTCACAAGGTAATAATGTTTGTCGGCACAAATAAATTTGTAGAATTATTAGGAAGCTTAAGTTTAAAGCTTCTCTGTGTCAAGTTTAATTAGAAAAAATGTGGCAATAAACATTAATTATGACTTATTCGAGAACTTTAGTTGGTATTAGTTGACTTCTCGTTTATTTGGCAATTATTTTCTAACTTAGTTTCTATTTTTTATTATTAGATTTTTATTTATTGTATTAAGTTATAATTTTGGCATTAATCATATGGAATTGTAAATTGACTGCTAAAATATTTCTTTGAAACTAACAAAAAGAAAACATGATAATAATTTTTTTTTTTAAATCAATCTCTTCCTTAACTAGCTTGTATTTTGAAGGAAAGATTATCAATTTTTAACTATGCTAGCTGACTAGCATATTTGTTTCTTTTATTCTTTGAGAGAGGCGTTTAGTGCGAGGCATCCACTTCGCCATCAATCTAAGATTCATTCAATTTTTAACGTCTCATATTAATTAATTTCATCAGAGATTCCAATTAGTTGAAAATTAAACAATTTTTAAAAATGTCTTAAAACATTTATTTTTTAATGTAACTTTTGTGCATGGATTATTAGTTGGTGTCAATTTATAGTTTGTTATATTTATCATTTTAGTATTATAAGCTCTCTGTTTATTTATAAATAAGCTTATGTATGATTAAATCGTTAAACGATATAATTTATTTTTATTTTTTTCTCTAACTTATTATTTTGATTATATAGTTACCACTTAACTTCTAATTGTGAAATTTATTTATTAAATTGTTTTGTAACACTATTTTTTTATTAAAATGATTCTTGTTTAATAATCTGTTGTTTATAGTTATATTTTAATATCCTGTAAGAAGTGATTCTGATATATATATATATACAGAGAGAGAGTTTTCAGTTAATGATATAGAACATGTAGATCTTTGGCTGTATGATGTGTTCTTATTGGAAATTAAACAATTTTGCACAATTTCTGCACAGATAGTCTGGAGGTCGTCACCCAGTCTAACCTCTCATTGGTGCTAACCTCTGGGAGATACTGACATTCTGAAAAACAACATTACGATTCTTTTTAAAGTACACAGAATCATCATTCATAAGCCTAGTTGGTGCGACTTGTCTCTAATAGACTAACCAGTCTTGCTTACCGGGAAAGGATCTCAGATCTCAGCAGCATGGCTTTCCATATATATCAATCAATATTATATTTTTTTGTCAACCTTTTTTTCTTTTAAGAAAACTACAAATGAGAACATTGACATTTTTATTGATCCGTCATTACAGAGTACATCACATCACAGATTCTAAAGAGATCGATCAATTAAATAAAATTGAAATATTTTCTAAACTTAATTGAATATAAATTATACATTTTAATATAAAAAATATAATTGAGACAATTAAAACTAAAAATATACTAACAGCAAATTAAGTTTTAATACTTCTGAATATATTTAATATGTTACAAAAGATGAAATGAGCATTTCAAAAGAATGTAAAATTAAAGTAACACAATAAAGTAAAAACCAAAGTAGAAAAAAAAGTGGATGATTATTCAAAATAAACAATAGAAATTAATTTTAAAACTACTTTCAATAAAGATATTGGAAAAGTTGTATCATAAATTAAATTAATAATAGAAATGAAGCAACTGAAAAATTACACTTTTTGATAAATCAGAAAACCAATACAGTTTCTCAATGTCACAATTAAATTACTTTATCAAACATTTTCAAGGCTTGTCAAACCAGATGTGAACAAAAACTAAGCATCTGTCATCGTTTAGTGGCATTGCTGTCAAAAAACATAATTTTGGTCTGTTTTTTTTTTAACTACGAATAAAACAGATTGAGCAACTGACCGACAATTGCCTTTCATAAACAACGTTTATTTCTTTACAAGATTACATTTCAATCACAAAGTCTCATAACCTACCTACTCCTTAAGGACTAAAATGTGAAAAGAAAATGAAAAAGTAAGTTTTGAAAGATGGAAATAAATAATTGCATCAAACTATTAATAGTGATCGAACTGCCTGATTCAGCAAGAATCTCTTAATATTGCTTAATTGTAGTTTCAAAATTAATCATGTGACCATTATATAAGTACTAATTTTTACAATTAGTCATCGCAATTTGAAATGGCCAAACAAGTTTGAGGCTAATTGAAACTCAAGGATATTTATAACATATTATACATCTAAAACTTTAGTAAAATGGTCTTATTTTGACTAGATTTATCACTTATAAAATAAAATTAAAGTGAATCCATTAAATCTTTGGTTTTGTAAAATGACTGCTCACCAACTGTATTAGAAGCTGTAAAAATTAATAGTGCTTTAGATGGATCAGTTATTAATTTTCAGTCAAAAGATAAATACACCCCCGATAACATAAACATAACAGATATTTGGTGGTTTGTTTAAGTTTTAAAGAGTAAAACCTTAGGCCATCAAAGCCTAAATTTTATTTAGACCTGAATAAAATAATACATAGGAATTATCAACTCGGTACCAGGGTCCATCAATGGCAATACAGTACCAATCAGTTCAATGAATCATATAACAATAACTTAAAAGAATTAAACTATATTTTATTATATCAATTACTTAAATAAATTAAACATTTTGTTTAAAATTGGAATGAATTAAAATCACATCCAAATTATTCTTAACATGTTAGATGCGGTAACGGTTCCCGGGTTCCAATATTCTTCTCAAATTCGGCGAGATTGTTTCTAATTTTGCCTATCTTACGAAGTCTCTAAAATGGCCATTTTTACAAATATTTGAATGGGAGTTGGATAGATAAAAACGTAAATAATCATTATAGATGATATAAAGCTATCGGACACCGGGGATGTAACTGCAGCTAACTTGTTAACAAACTAAAATATGAAACTTACAAACAATATAGTCAGGAAGTCCTTAATGGAGAGTTTCATTAAATAGTTAAATAAAAATTCTAATTTATAATTAAAATTACTATTATCCACTCTAGTAAAGTAGATATTTTCAATTAACTTAAAAGTGCACTTTATTCTACCATGCATTTTACCTGTGTATAAATGGACAGATTTTGTTTAAACACACACTTTACCTTAACACTGACATAACCTTACACATAAGTTAAATATAACATCAATAGTGTGTTCAACATAGATATTAAAATCTCCATAAAGTCATGAATATTAATTTTAGTTTATCTTCCGATTTCCTTTTACAAAGAAACAATAAATAACGCTATTCAAAGTGCTAAAAATCATTCTTTCAATGATTTAAAAATAAAACCCAACATAAAAACGAAACAATGAATTAGGTTTCCCTAGGGCTCAGCCTATATAGGACAAGGCTAAGCTGGTCGAACAAATTGTTTAAGTTTTCATACGGCATAGCTTCAGCAGAGAAATGACGATGGAAAACTCTTTCTACTTTAGCAGTCATCTTGTGCGTGAGGCAGGCCAGCTCGAAGTCAGTCTTCAAAGTGCCAGGGCAGGCGTGATAGAGGCGATACTTGAGCCGTTTTTCTTTCCAGCTCTGTTCAGAGGTCTGGAGCAACTCAGCAAGTTTGTCTGTTACTGATTCCATGCTTGCTGTTCCAAGCTCATAAGTATAAACATCCCTTGATCTTTGGAATCTCCTAAAGAAAATAATCTTCATTAATAAAATGTAAATTGTGTATAGTTTCAAGTTAGTATAGTATAGTTTCAATATAATTACAATCTTTAAAGTACTTGATAAAATAGCTTATAATAGGATTTTTTGTTCTTTTTTGGCTTTAAGACTTGTAAAATCAAGTCCTATTTTGCAAATATAATAGGAATATACATGAGTTATCATTATATATAAAATTAAATAAGAAATATATGAAATAGACTGTGTGCGTAGCAGAAAGACTAAAGTAGACAAATGAGAAAAACATAGATAATAAAATTAATTAAATGGCAAGGGTGCAAATAATAATAGAGATACAACTAGTGATAAGAACCTTCATTTTCGGGCTGAAGCCCCTCCTCCCCAAAATGGTAAAATGTAATCATATCTTATGAAAAAAATATAAAAAAATTATCTCTAAAAGTAATATTGTTCGTGTAATTACATTTAATAGGACTTCAAGAATTACTTAAGCCCCATTTTATATAGGTAGTTAGTTTCTTTACCTTACAAAGTAATTATCGTTTTTTAAATTTAAAAGAAAACTTTCAGGCTGAAGTCTCCCCAAAATTAAATCCTGGATCCACTAGTGGCCCTTGTAGTTTTTATATCAAATCGAATCAGTTATATCCAATAATTCTTCTCATTTGGTAAACAATTAATAGCTTAATTATACATATCAGTAGCGGATAATTTTAAGTCTTCAAAACTACATTTACATTCCATAAAAGAGAAGAAAAAAAACTTTTTGTTGACACTAGCAGTTAGTATATCTCTTTTACACAAAAGTAACTGCATTAACTGATGTAATATTGTTTCCAATCATTCTTTCTACCGAGAAATAAAGCACCAGGGTTTTCAGTCAGAAACTAATTAGTAAACTATTAAGCAATATTTTATATTATATATTATGTACTGTTGATGAATGATATATTATTATATATTATATACAGTTAAACTGGATTTCTTAAATCTGTTTGATACAACTGGTTGATGTAACAGTTATTATGTTACTTAATAAAATTACCAGGAAGGATTATTTCAACATAAAAAATGTATTGATCAAAATAACGAGTTGCTAAAGTTTTAACTTGCCTTGTAGAATTGGTGAAATGCACAGTTGCAGCTGAACCAAATTTAAGTTGAAGAAGTGATATTGGTAGTGGATACATATGTGAAGTAACCAAATGAATAGTGGTCAGCCTGGGTTTGGTTTGAATTTCTTTTGATAAATGATCAACTAAACAAAAAAAAGTACAAATTCAAATGTCAAAACAATCAACAGATAATGCAAATAGAAAAATTATAAATAACAACTAATAATTCAATATTTAAAAATTAGTAAAAAGAACAGACAGGTCCACTTCAATTGTTTAACTGTTCCCTTTTCCATCATTACTAGTACTGTTTGAAATTGGAGTCTGTTTCTATCAGACTCAGTATATAAAATTCCAGTGTGCCAATTATAAATAAAATTGATGAGAATTAATAGGATCCTTCCTCTCATGCATTTAGCTATCCCTACGATATAATGCAATAATCTCCACCTTGTATAATTGTAGTGACTAGCTAAAATTCAACTCATCAGTTTAACTAGCTCCCATTTTGATAATTTTAATAAAAGTTAAGCTACTTGAATAAGTTTTATTGTATCTGATACAACAGATATCATCTTTGGCAATAGATAAGGGTTCGGTATATCTTTTTTATAGATTGAGATTTTTTTATAGATTAATTATAGATTGAGACATATTTCAGCATTAAATAAAATTAAAAAAGAAAGGAAACTAATTGTGTATAGGTATATTAAGTAACACAGAAAATATTAAATTAGATTGTATACATTAGAATCCTATGTAATCTTTAAGCATATTACCTAAATTATAAACACCAGCTTGATGTACAAATCCAAAAAAGACAGAGAATATAATATTCACTATATACCATGTAGTTAGTAGGCCATTTCTAGTGTCAGGTTTAACCTAGGTAGAATTATTTAGATTGTTAAATTAGTAATATTAAGTTAGATTAAATTAGTAAGATTAATTAAGAAATCAGTTAGCACTATGAAAAGGATTAAAATCATCTACCTTTGCCTTGAGGAAAGCAGTGTAACCATTCTCTTTTTTACTAACAACAGAACTACTTTCAGATATAGAGCGAATTCGCTGAGAGTGTAGAAATACAAGTGGCAAAGTCACAGGAATTAAGAAACGTGGTTCTTGGTGAGGAATGGCAGATAGAAGAGTAATCGGAATGACAAAAGATGAAGTCATCAGTCCAATTATACTTTGAACTCGAGGAAGACTACTCCAACGCCTCATAAATGCTCTATAAAAAAAAAAAGAAATAAAATATAAATAATAATCTATATATTAAAGGCTAAATAACAGAATATGAAGTATGAATCCTAATAAATTTAAATTTTTTAAAACAAATGATTTTATAATTACAAAAGGAACATAAATTTAAGTTATGATAAACTGTTATACCTGTAAAGGATATGAAGGAAGCCAATTAATCCAGAAACACCGAGAACATTGAACAAAAGTGGTATGTTGACAAGAAAGTGTGTGTAACGGGGATGAATACCATGTTCTTTTAAATTACGCCAGTCCAAATTGTAAGTTATAAAATTAAAGGGAGTAAAAACAATTTTTGACCATAAGCTTACCCTCCTGTGTGCAAAATCACGGAAAGTAAGCTGTTCATAATAATATGAATCAACAGCAACCATGAGGCACATAGATGGTATTGAACACAGAAACAGCGCAAACATTCTTATATTAAAATCAGTAAAACCGATCAAATGAGAGCCCATGCCTCTCAGCAGCCAAAAGAATATAGGTGGAAATGCGAAAGCAAAAAATGTGGGACGATTAAAGACACCTAACACTGTAACGGTAGCTATGTAAAACACATTTGCGAAGGTATGCCATGGTAAAGACACACGTAGACGATGAAATTTGATTTTATCTTTCATATTATCTGCTTGTTTATACTTTTCATGGTAATATTCTTCTTGGTATATAACCTAAAATAATTTAAATTAATATATGTAATTAAATAATGTTTTAAGATACTCTTGAATTAAAAAAAAATTAAGTATACCTGGTCAGACTTGGCCATGCAATATGAAACCAAATATATTAGATATGAAGCAAGAGCTAATTCAATAGAATTTGTGAATGTTCTGGTACTGTAAACCAACATAACATAAGAACTCGCTAATGTCAATAAACGTGATCTATAATTCTGTCTATATAAACAACATATCCTGGATAAAAAAGAAAAATGTTAATAATATTTAATAAACCATTTTCATTTTCAAATAAATACTGAAACTTATTAGGAGTTAATACCTGTACATGCAGTAATCAGTCACGAATGAAAGAAAACAGCAGGCTAAACGAGGTACAACTAATAAAGTGTAAGGAGTAATAATTTTCATATTAAACCATAAGTTAAGAAACGGTGCAATACTTTTAAGTAAGAAGAGTGGAAAACCCATAACAACATAAGGTAAAGCAACACTTCTTATGGGATATGTTGAATTGAATTCCCATGGTCTTATGGAAGCCACATTAAAAATATCACCTAAAATAAAATATGATTTAATAGCATAGCATCAACTAACTTATGTATAAGAACTATGAGATAAACATCTTACTATTAAGAATTTCTAAAGACTGAAAATATTCGTCAGGATGGATATACCCATCTTGTGGGATAAATATAAGAGCTATTCTTAAAAAAACAAGAAACCAATACGGTGCTAAACTTAAATTAATAGGAGCTTTGTTTTCATTAAAATCGGTGAAGCTGTATTTGTCATTAGGGTGTGGTTTGTTTGATTTACTTGATGCCATCGGAGTAAACTTATAAACATAGCACGAATAACCAGGTAGAAAAAACAAAATGTTTTGACAAGCTCCTGTTTGAAGTTGACAGGCCTTTAGATAGTTGCGTTCAGCACATTCACTATCTATTGCAATCTATTTCCCAAAGAGGTAGAATAGGTATTGTATAAATTTTATAATATTTACAATTTCTATGTAGAAAGCGTTAGTTTAATAACTAAGCTCAAATAAATTAAAATAAAAACAATCCGGTTTAAAAACTATTTCATAAAAAAATTAAAAATCATCTAGTAATTAAAATAAAAAGTGGTATGTATTTGGAAAATAAAAAAAAATCATTATTTCCATATTCTTAATACAACTTTAAAAATTTGACCCAACATCTCTATAATTCGACCAAGTTTCGCCTGAACCAGTACGAATAGTACAGATGTACTTGACAATAACTATTTTTAGTATTACTTATATCAATAATGTATTGCGTATATAAATGAATCAAACTTTTTAAACTATTTTAGAAAGTTAAAGAATGTTTTTTCTGCTGTTAAGAAATAAGGTAATGGTTACTAAGTTTAAGGAGTGCCCATCCTCCCTCCAAGGCCAATGGCGCATAAACTCCACCCCTCCCAAGACATTTTATTTCTCTCTTCTTCTTAAACACAGTGTAAACGAAAGTAGAATTTAAATGCAACCATATTCGTAGATTATATGCAATTTCACATCCTGCGGTCTGTTCCATGCTTCCACTGTCTTTTGATTTGAAACTTTTCATTCTGAAAATTCACGACCCCGTCGAAATTTGCCCTCCTCAAAAATTGAAAACCCCGTCAAAAAGTGACCTCCTCATAAATTTTGATGGCGCAAATTGCGCCATGAAACCCCCTTCTGGATACCCCTGATGGTTGCATTTCTAAGTAAAAATATTGATTGTGAAATTCATTATTTCTTGAAGTAGTACTACACATAATAGTCTCGAATCTGTTCCGGTTATTCACTAAACTGAATTTTAAAACTTCTGCAAATGACTTTTAAATTAGATTAGAGGTTTAAATTATTTGAGAAAACTCTAATTATTTTATGAATATCTGAATTAATCAATTCTTAATTTATCTACAACCATGTACTAATTTTTAACGATCATAAGATTAGGACTTTCTAAGCAGTATTGTAAAATAACTTAATTTCCTTATTTATAAATGCGCATATTTACTTCTTTCAAAATTGGATCATTCATGTTAACTTACGTGCATTTAGACATTTCACAAACTATGGGAAACACATTATCTAACTTAATAGCGGAATTATTACTAGAACAAACTATTTATTGTATTTCTCTTGATACCGACAACAGATGGAAAATATAAAAAACAAAAAACAAAAATACTAGCATAGTGAAATAACCATTTATATATTTGTTTGACCCACAGGCGGATCTACGGGGGAGGCTTTCGGTCTGAAGGCCTTCCCCCCCCCCTCCCCCAAAATGGTAAAATGTAACCATGTTATACAGAAAAAAATATTAAATACGATCTTTTAAAGTATCCTTGTTCGTGTAATTATATTTAATAGGACTTAAAGAACCGCTTAAACACCATTTCATATAGGTAATTAATTTCTTTATTTTTTTTTCAAATTAATTATCGTTATATGTATATGAAAAAAAAAATCTTTCGGGCTGAAGCCCCCCCCCCAAAATTAAATCCTAGATCCGCTAGTGGTTTGACCCATAGTTTGTGAAATGTGCATTTCTCAATAATCATTATAATTATACATTATATCAGAAATCTTTTGCTTCGAAAAATGACTTTTTTTTTTAACTATCCAAGAAATTAATACAAAAATTAATACAATTTATAATTAAGGTACAGATTACATTTTAAATAAATATTATTGTAAGTAAAATTAACAAATGTTATATGTACGTCCAAGCGTTTACATTTTTTTTTAACAATTGTTTTAATCTATTAAAACTATATAACTCACAACTTTGAACTTTACTCTTGATGTGTCTGTAGAAGTTGGCACAATGTACTTCCCGCTCAGTATACTCGTACTGAGTAATCTCAATCCAGTTACCTTGCACTTCGCAGTAATTATTAGAGTTATTTATTATAATATAATGTATAGCTTCTGGGAATGATTTATGATTTTTAAATTATCTAAGAAAGTAATTAAACTATTTCTCCGCAGTTTAGAAATAAGGTAAAGATTACATTTTTAACATATACTTTTTCAGTTAAGAATTCTTGATATATGTATATACCATGGACTCAAATGCTTAAATTTATTGTAAAATAAATAAATTTATATATTTTCTAATATATATATATATATATATATATATATATATATATATATATATATATATATATATATATATACCATGGACTCAAATGCTTAAATTTATTGTAAAATTAATAAATTTATTTATTTTCTAATACATATATATGTGTATATGCATATACCCCAACTATATAACTTTAATATAGTCTCAGCTCTGTACCAAGGTAATTGGCAATAATTATAAAGATTATTTACTTGTATTAGGAGTTTATATTACTAACAAATGATTTAATCTTTTTAAATTATCTTAGAATGAAACGCTAATGTTTCTATACAACTTAATAAGGTGCTAATGAAATTTTAATATAAATAGTATTGCCTGTTAAATTAACCGATTCTTAGTGTTCATACAAGCATGTATATGAACTTGTAACATTTTCTATTATATATATAAAACCAATTTATTTTATTATACCCTCAGCATTTTGAACATTGAACTCCATACTTCGTTCCCAATTGCAGTTCCTAAGATTCCGTTTTTAACAGATATTGTTAACTTCAACGGATTTACTTACACATCCTTTCTAATTTTCTTCATTTCGGCTTCGACTTCTGTTAATTGAACTTGTCGAACGACAACGAAACGAAAATCATCTAGCTAGTCGCATTAATTCACAAGTGACTCGAATTGCTTACCCGACGAATTGTAAAACACTTCAATCTCCTTTATTCCTTTCCTCTTCAGTTACAACGCAACGCCTGTTTGAGTCAGGAGAGCTATGGTATAAAGGATCAGTTTAGAGACAGGAAAATACGAGAAAAGGACAAAAATGAAAGTGATAAATTCATAGGGAGATTGAGCACTTGAACAACGTTAGCAGCCTTCCAGCTCTTCTCTGAATGATACAAGTGCCAGAGAGTCAGGTTGAGATACTTCCAATCTTCCAACAAGAACAAGGGGAGCTCACTATTCATGAGGGATAGGATGAACCTTCTGTTGATGAACAGTCTGCATCATTCACTAAGAAGTGTTTGCTGCCATTATGCGAATCATAGAATCTTATAAGGCAATACAGAATATCCCATCCTAAATGAAAGGTATGACTGGGTGCAAGTCGTCTGTTACCATCTGGAAGATAGTAATGATTAGATATCTGACGCGAAGAAAGACAAAGTTTATGAAAGTAGTTGTCACATCGGTGTAGTCACCCCTACTGATACAGTTATCAATTTATTTTTAGTTTTTAAAATTTGTTTTTACATATTGCAGTAAACTTCTAATGCTATAGTTTTCAACATTTTCTATTTTCGATGGGCCTCCTCTCCTTGTCAATTGAGTACCAAAAATAGAACTATTATCTAGGTGGGCTTTCCCATTCCCTGTGTCTTGTTTTCATTATCCGCTACTAATTTAATGAGGGGGAAATCCTCAAATTGAACATTGTGGACCTTGAGGTATAAAACTTTATTTGTTATTGTTTTCTTCCTAATCTCTATTTCTTTCCCAGGAAATCGTTACAAACAATTTTTAAAATGAGAAGTCTTGTCTGACCTAGAGAGTTGTTCTTTTATTCAGTTTTTTGGTTTCCTTCCCGCTTGGCCGATATGAATAGGATAGCATAAGTTTATATTCATTTTAGGAATCATTTTGAACATTGTTTGTACCCAGATAAAAATAGTACTATGCAACTTTAAAAGAAAACAATAAAAAAAAAAAAATAATAATAATATAAAATACCTCAATGTCCACAATATTCAATTCTGATTGGTTTCAGCAAAAAATCTAGTTATTGTGGGATTTGTAGTTTTGAATTTTAGTGGGAATAATTTTCTTTTTTTAAATTTCCTTTCAGGTGGACTGAAAGATTAGACTCAACTGCTAGAACTTGGTTTCAATTATTATTGCTGAAATATTCATATCAGATACATAATATATTGTTTAGGAACAATACTAAATCCTAATTGTAAAAATAAAATGTCATCTTGGCCAAACGTATTGGAGTTCTATATAAGTTAACGATCATTTGGCAGTGAACTATCTACAATACTGGAATAAAAGTTAGATAGACATACTGAGGACTTTTAATAAAAATAATAATTCAACAAATATTTTCAATCAAATTATATTTACAAACATATGAAAATAAAAATATATCATAAAAAATAGGAAAAATATAACATACAAAAAATAAATAAAATTATAGGAAGTTCCATCATTATAAATTATTATCACCCACATATTCGATATATTAATTACCCTAACAAATAACATTAATGTTTTAAAAATATAGATATGTATACCTATAACAGAAATAGATAATATTTTTTTTAATTTTCTAAACATATATATATACACTTTTCATGAGGTATATATATATATACATTTTTAAGTTATCTGCCCACTTGAGAGTAAATTGCGAAAAGCTCTTGAGAGTGAATAAAGTGGACATGTACCTTAAAGTTTAACTTTTTATGCATTATATCTGAAAAATACTGATTAAAAATGACTAGGAAAATATATATACAATACATATTTATCTTACCTCAAAATTACAACCATCATTTCAAAAAAATTTCAAAATAAAGACTTGTATTTATAACATTCCTAAACATTCAATATTTATAACTAACTACTTAAGCCATAAAACATCATTTTGTCTCACTCAGTCAATGATTAAAATTAGTAGGTAAAAATATTTAAAAAGTCTTTTTAAGCCTTGAAAAATGAAAAATTAATTGAGGAAGTACAACAGATGCTGCCTGCTTTATATAAATTTGTGATTATATAATAATTGATTAAAAATAATACAGAATTAAAAACTAGTGGAAATCTTATGATCCTTATAGAAAAATATTCCACATAAAAATTAAATTTGAACTAAGTAACAATATCATTAACTTAAATATGACTGTAATAAAAAGTTGTATTTTCGATACAATTGCATACAATTATTTGTACTATTGAAATACCTTTTACAACTATGCTAAAACTAGAAGGACATGGAAATGAGAAATAAATAAATAAATTAACGAAGATAAAAAATAAATAAAGTGATTAACTTCAAAAGAGTTTAAATTAGATTAGAAATTCTTGGCTTCCATTATTATCATTAGAATGAGAGTTGTAGATGAACATCAGTGTCGAACTACACTGGACAAAAATGAGTAACCACAGGGGAATTGTGATTAATGAAGAATTAAAAAATAGGAGAGAAATCAAAAGTGTTGTAATACGAGCGAACATAAAGTTATTATTAAACTGTTTCTTCTTCAGTAGTCTGACAGAATACAATTGAAGGAAAATGCCACATATGCCACTAACAGTACAGCAAGCATAGAAACCTACCTGATCGAGGTACTTGAACTGAAGTGCTGAAAACGCTTCACCAAGATAGAGGCTGGATGGCATTAGGATGATGAAACTGCAATGTTATGAATGAAAATTAAAAAATATATTGGTCATAAATTTATTAATTTTAAGTCTGGATATAAAATAATAAAAGCATTATATAGATATTACATAAATAATATGATATTTAAGACAAAATATAGTCATAAACTTTTGACTTAAATAATATGATTTAATCTCTCTAAACCTTAATAAAACTTAAATACTGTACACCTTAATTAAACACGGTAATACAGAATATCCTGTAGTAACTAGCTGGTATTAACAACTAATGGTAATAATATGGAGTACGTAAAACTATTAAAATGATAAATTAGAATAATAACCTAATATATCACTGCTTTTGATAATCACAACATTTTAATTATTCATGAGTATAAAAAATGTTATGTTTATTATTTTTTAGATTCAGACTTTCTTAAGTAGAATAATGATAGTTTTTGTCTGTAGTTTGATTCAGTGTTCTTCCTAAATTTTAATTTACAAGCTTATTTTTTTACAATAAAAGTCAACTGAACAACTAATATCATCAAAAGGTGAGGGACATAACACCATGAAGAGATGTTGTCTCACCAGTATAAAGCTCAAACAAAAAGATTGAAAATAACATGTACCTAAAAGGTTTAATTTTTAATAAGAAAGAAAAACAAAAGAATGACTGTCAAAGGTTCAAGCCAAAGTAAGCACTGTTACAAAAAAAAAAAACCAACTTTGCTAAGAAAGATTCAATGAATTATTGGGCAGTGTCAATACACTAACATACTTCTATGAATGACTAATTAGAAGAAGAGGTTTCAGTGGATACAGACTGAACAATCAAATATTGGAGAAAAGGACTCTGAACAGACATGTTCAGATCAATGTTTCTGATCACTGAATTACGATTCATTTTGATCAGAAAAATTTATCCTTCAGTGCATAATTTCAACTGTAGAGCTTCAAGAAAAGGTGAGTTCTTGAGAGAGGGTATTTCTTAGGCTAGGTCCACTAAAATTGACACGAATACTTCACATAGAGGGTTTTTAAGAATTATAAATTTTTTCTGGTTTATAATCGGTTATAGTTTCACTGTACAGTTGGAAAATGACCAGAAACATTATTTTTTTTTTTAGGACATTTAAAAAAATGAAGACATTTTGAAAAACATTTTTTTGGTCAGCTCAGCTTCAGACCAGAATCAGTTCAAGCTGTATTGAGAAGATCTTTAAGGGAGCTCACACTTCAACGAAACAAAAATCCTTTGGGACAATAATTCCATAGGAGAAATCATTCATTAAGAGAATGTCACGAGTGGTCAAAGTCATATAATTAAAAAAAAAAGAAGTGTTTTTTTTTTATGTGAAAGTATCTTTTTTTTCTACAATGTTTCTCCAAAATTTACTTATTTTAAGTTCTTTATTATTTCATATGAAAAAAAAATTGTTTTGCTTTTTATATTAAAAAATGTACACAATTATTTCAAAGAATTTAAATAATCAATCTTAAACTTTTGACCAGCAGTTTCAATATTTAATATAGTTTATCATTATAAATAACATTTATGATGGTGGAGACAATTTATGCATAGATCAAATTGTAGAAGTTGGTTGGGTTGTGTGGTCAAATGTGAAATATATGAAAATGTTTATTTCCTTGTGTGCTCACAAATAGATACTGAAAAATAACCTGCAGTTTTTAATTGTTTTCATTCACATATCAGAATTTTTTTTTTTATTATTTACACCTATTTATAAAGCAACTGAATTAGAGACATGTTGAATTAAATAGAAATTCAAATATAAAATAGTTTAAGAAATAAATTTAATTTTTGGGGATGAGGCGACTTGTTACCTTATCTTTACTTAGCCCTGAGGAAATCGTAAAATTTACAGCAACACATTATTTTATATGAGTGTACTTTCATGATTGACCGCATCCCCAAACAACTACTTTACAAAGTAAAGTTATTACATATCTTTTTTTTCCAAATGTTAACTAAAAATTATAAACAAATAGAAAATAATCAAACTTCAATACCTGAATATATTTCTGTAATACAGTTTAGATATTTCTTTTGCATTACTCTCATAAGAGGGAGTAGTGAGCTCCACAAGTGTTGTAGTGAGCATAAAAAATATTGGCCATGGATGATATCCAAAGGGCATCTAAAATATAATTAATTCTCATAAGACTTCACTGTATAAGTAAAATATTCAATGCTACAATGCACTTAAATTGAATTTGGTTTGGAAAAGGTTTAATTTGTCTTATAAAAAGATGAATATGACTTGGAAATGCAATAAATATACTAACAAAATAAAGTATAGTGTTCACATTGTTTAATGTTTTATGTATCTACTGACATTTATTTCTACAGAAATTTAGAAAATAAGATAAACTGTAACTCACCACAATTTCAATGTACAGAAAGAGAAAAAGTGATGAAACAAGAGCAGTAATCGAAAGAATGAAGTCGAACAAATTGACATTCTTCAAAGTACACAACATAACGCATACTGCTGACGTATTCTGTGCACAAATAAATAATGGAACAGGCTGAAAGAGAATAAGTGGTAAATAAATGTAACAAACATAAGTAACTTCAATAATTTGGTATAAAGTTTTAAGAATTACAATTGAAGACAAAGCTTTGGAACCACTGACGATAGATCCCACATAAATGAGAAGGTTTGGTAATATTTTGAAAAAATTGAAACAGGTGAGTCTGTTATTCTCTTCATTTGACATAAATAGGCTTGGCCTCAGGTACAAGAGAATGAAAGCTCCAACCAGTGTCTGCCATCCTTGGTACACAGAGGGATAGGTAAATCCTAATACTGAAAGTACATACTGAAAAATAAAAATCATAATAGCGATTAATATCCTAAGATTTGTATAAATGTCAAACATTAATCCTTTAACAGGGAATATGAATATAACAATAAAAATGAAATATATTCAGAAAGAAATATTTTCTTATGAGTCTTAGTTTAATAAAAAAAATAATAAAATTGTTAGCATGATAATAACATGTACAAGAGACATTATAATTCATTAATTTATAATATTGAGTGTTTTATTAAGTAATCTATTTCCTTGTTTTTATTCGGTACATCTGTACAATAAAATCCGCTCTTTAAGTTTAGAATACTAATATAAATCAACCGACACATTTTTATGTAATATAATTTATTTTGGGTTGATTTAAATAATCAAAAATTACAATAAAAATAGCTTATTTCCAAAACAGATATTTTTGTATCTATTTATATTAAATGATGAATTAACAAAACTATTAATTTTTGAAACAAACTTCATTAAATTTATTGGATTTCTTATTGAAATTAAAATGATAGTTTTTTTTTTTCATTAGGGGAACTGCTTAACGCTGTACACCAGACACTTAGAAATTCACTAATCAAAGTATTTTATTTATATTTGTTACAAAATAAAAATAATTTCAGGTTATTCTTGAATATAATTAATTATTTTTTAATTAAAATGGTCAAAGTGTCTATGAGGAGGGCAAAACGATACAATGTACTTGAGAAATAAGTCCTGTAGCACTCAGCCTCACCAGTTTGGTAGACCCTGAGAATATAAAATTGGCAACATTCCCTGGAATGTTATGGGCCATATTACATATGGTACATTACCAGCCTCTCCTTCGCAAGATATATAAATACTAAAGTGAAATGACTTGAAAGTCAGAGAGTGGAATCAACAACATCCAAAAACTCTGTAACTAAAAACCTCAAGCCTACCTTTTAAATGTTTCTTGTCAATATGTTCCATTTGAATTACTTTGTTTTATCTACTAATGGTATTGCAACAAACTTTTCTTAAGAAAACTCATTGAATAGTTCCATTATCATAATGAAGATGTAATACATATTTAAGAAGACATCAGGGCATAATGAAAAATAAAGAAAAACAAAGACATTTATGAAAAATATATTTATTATATTTTAAGTTTTCATTACTTAAACTACAATGTAACATAAACTTTATACCTTATTGACAAAAATGGTTAAAATAAACAAAAGGTGGAATATTCCATTCTCTGTCTTTATATATTTATAAATTGAAACTGCACTGATACATAGAAACCCCATAACCTTAACTAATGTAACCTCCCCATACACATCATGACCGACTCCATCTCAAGTTTTTGGGAACAATTTTTTGAACACTTTTTGTCAGGATTAAAACCTAAGTTTCCTTCCAATAATAAAGAACAATGACAAGTTAGATGCTGCATTCCATACGAACGATGAAACCGTCAGAGCCAGTAATGTAAACTTGGCCGGGGGGTCCTGGGTGGATTTCGTTCATGCACACTCCAATGTCAAGCTGTGCGAGTTTCTTCTTTGTGTTGAGGTCCCAGGCTTTGACGACTCTATCATATCCTCCAGTCAGCATGATGTGCTCCTTTCCAGGCAGATGGCACATTCCGGTAATGGTCATATCATGGGCCTGCAACAGTAAAAAATGGGTTCATTATTCATTCGAAGCATTTATTGAAAATAAAGGTTAATTTTCAAGCAATCAGAACAACTTTAATAAGACAATAAATCAAATAAAGATTTGATAATTGTTACTTTTGGAGCAAGATGGTGCTTCCATATGTTATAATCCTTTTTAAGTCTGATTTAAAGGATATTCTGTTGTTCTTTGTTTATTCCAGGTCTTGATGAGAATAATTAATGTGATCTATCAACAAACAATCCAAGTATCACCAAAACCTAACAACCATAAGTAATTAGAGAAATAAGGATGGGATTTCAGTGCATTTCAATTGTAAATCGGCTAAGAATGCACAAGGTATTCACTATAGAAACAGAAGTAGTCGTGTGCTCAAGCTATGAATGGTAATAATTAATAACAATCTGACTTTGACTATCCCATACCATCCATCATTTCTATTTTTCTCATAATTCTAACGAAAGCACAATTATGCCCAGCATTTTCCGTTTTATAGCCTATAATTATCAATTTAGTCGCAAATTCGTTACACTTTACAGTGTTCAGAAACAAACAAATCAGTGGCTATGAGAGTGACGCATTAGGAAGGATTACTACTTATATTTGCTCAGTTTAAATGGAGAGCGTTCTGGCCTCGCTCCCACATCTATGGCCTGTAGTCAACAAGACTTGATCCAATCTTAGCTGAAAAACTATCCTAATCCAATTAAATTAAGATCCAAGAAGATGACGGCTTATACAAACAGATTTTACAAGGAACTGAAGTCTTCAATGAATACTCCGAACTTAGGACGATATAGTTATATTTCTTAATAGATAGAATAATAGAAAAATAACTTTATTCTGCGACACAGTCCCTTGAGAATAACAAAATAGAACAAAATTAATATATTACATCTGGCCAAAATAAAATCAATCGAAAAAAGAAATAATATAAAAAAAAATATAAGGTAAAAATTCTATATAAAAAACAAACTAAACTATATACAAAACCATTAATACTATGACAAGACACTTAAAGCTGTTTGCTCTTATAGACCAGTATACACTTTTACGAAAAAAATAAAGAATTAACAAATAAAAATGTATCAAATTCTCTATTAAAATCAGCTCGAATGGTTAGCAACTATCTGACTGTTTTTGGGATAGGAATTGGAATAGGAGGGTTTTGAATGTGGATATGGATGGGGAATGTCGAATTTTGATAGGGAGGGAATTCCAGAAATTGACAGAGCGAACAATAAAGGAATTTTGGAATGAGGCAGATCTGTGAGAAGGAATGTAAAGGTTAGAAGGTCGAGATCTTGTGGACAGGGAATGGACTGAGGATTTGAACTGGAGAAGGCACTAAAAATTCTTAAACTTATACTAAAAATTGTATATAGATAAAGATATCATAATTCAACAATAATAACATGAATTTTTTGTTGGTATTAAAAAACATAGGAATCAATTTTAAGTTGTTTTTTTTTCAAATTATCTTGAGCTATTGAATGATGTATTATCGATTTACGTCAACCTCCAATACGAAATTTTAATTTTAATGTCTGAAAGCATTTCAAAATTACTTCCCTTGCCGATTTAGTTCACTTCGAATACCGTGAAGCTTTTACTGTCCACATTATAAGATATAGGTGAAAATAAAGCTTAAATGATCCATCAAAGACATTAACCTTGAGAAAAGCTAATAACTGTGAAATATAAAGACAGATTTCCTACCATTTAGAAGGAATTTCGAGCGAACTAAATTTACGAGAAGGTTAGGACTGGTGGAGGTCCTTGAGTAGAGATTATTTGTATGAGGGTGTACGGAATTATAATTTTAATAAATTAATAAAGTTGGACAAGACTATTGAATATAAGAATCTACAATGGTTTGTTGCGAAACAATCCAAAACCGAAAACTGTTGTGTTATGAATTTAAATAACAGAATTTGCATGAAGAAAGATAAATACAAACCATTTTATGTGACGTTGAAATTTATAGTTATCTATATTTCTTCGAAAAAGTTACTGTTGATTACTAATGGTTCTTGATGACCTAAGCGATCTATCTCTAGAGTCACAAAGAAATGATCGAAAAATCCTTCGGATTAAAACCAATATTTAAAATTGAATATTATATTTTGGACGTTGAATAAATAATTTTAAAGGTATCAGCTCAAGTCAATGTTTTCATGGTTATGTTAATTATTTCATCATTTGTTGTAAACAAGTAGAACAGTTTATTATGGTATCATTTAACTTTTAGTGTAATTGGAAGGACTAACCGCCTCCATGTCCTGACACATTTTTACAGACAGTGATTTACTAATGAATTATTAAACAGAATATAGATCTTCAACGGGATCGAAACTTCATAATTTCATCCAACTCGAAAAATTGGATTTCTTCTAATCATAATTTCCGGTATGATATACTCTTAATAACTCCTAAAGACATTTCTCTACCTTTAACTAAATTTATATACAAAAATTCAACCTTCTAACTCAATTAAGGGGTGGGGGATGTGGAGATGACCAAAACATTATAAAACGAGAAAAACCAGCACATTACGATTTGAATATGCCGAAATTTTTACCAAAATTTACTCCCACTTCTCCGTAGAAAACAATTGTACTGAATTTCAGCTCATTTCATTGAACAAGGAGCCGCTGGGAATGCCCGAATGTAGCTTGGAAAAAAAAATATGCATACATACACATTTTTGATTTGGGAATGTTTGATATAGATCTGACCTCCTCTCTCCCTAACCGTGTTCTAAAGGCCATGAAACGGATCAAAATACATCCGATGGCCATCCGTATCAATGTAAAAGGTTTTTATTTTAGAGTATACTACGAAAAATTAAATATGTATATATATATATTTATATATAAATTAGGCAGGTCTGATGTCGATCAGGGAAAATAATTACGTGTATATTTGAGACCAGAATTGAAACCAATGTGTACCATATTTACCAGCTTTTCCCAGTTAATATAACCTTTAAAGCATCTATTTACAAGTTGACAAGATTTACTCTAATACCGTAATTACACTTCTAAAAATAACAAGTTACTGAGCTAATATTAACTGTACAGTCAGCTTTGCCAGTGACTTTAAATGCATCATAATATATAGCATATTTATCAGCTAATTCTAGCTAAATACCTAAATATAGGTACTGAACCAGGATATTTTTCTTATAAATAAGAATTAGAAATACCACAATAATTGGACATTATAACGATACTCGCCTTGATTTCAGCAATCCTCTTGAATTTGTCCTCCTTGGAATTCGCATGCACATAGACACATTTGGCACAGCGGCTGAGGAAGCAAACCTTATCACCAACTAATCTCACCGGGAATCTGCCAATCATTGCACCTCTGGACATGTAATTGAACCTCGGTCCTGGAAAATGAATAGTTTTTTTTTTATAGTTTTAAGTTATGTTTCTTACATCTAATTCAATTCAAATCTACGTCATTAATAAAAAATACTGCTTTCTAAAATATTTCGAATAATATAATGCGTGCAAAATCGGATTACATTCTACAGAAACAAAAAAAATAGCCAAAAGCAAGTGAATTTAGAAAAATCTACTTATCCGTATAGATCAAATGGTAAATAAAAATTTACTAATAAATTATTCGTGTAATTATTACTTCAATTAACAGGACATAAAAAGATTCTGTTATATACAAAGATAGTCCCTCAATAAATTTAAGATATTGAGATATTACATACTTTTGTGGTTTTGTTCCTTTCTGCAGAAAAATGGATAGTACAAATTCAATTATTTTGTACTAAATCAAGGGATATATTTTAGGTTTCAACGACAATAGTTTATTGTATTTTTTTTCTCACTCATTTATTCCCAGCCTTCCTATTCATTGCATATATAGGGGGGAGGGAGAAATTCCACGAGTATAATATATATATTTCGACAAGAATGAGATTCATTTCAAACATATGCTCGACGCGAGATTGCTAAGATCATGACGCCTTAACAATCTTGAATATCGCGGCCTAAATGTAAGCAAGACCTTGAGAATTAATATAAACTAAAACTACAATGGACTTAGTAGATAGATTTTACATTTACGGCTAAACGACATATAAAGTAACAATAATAACAAATAAACATTCTTACCTCCCATCATTTCAGTTACTGAAATATCCACATTTCTGGCGTTGAATACGAGAGGTCCAATTACAATGAAGTCCATGATATCTTCATGAAGAGAATATGTAGCAACCAATTCATCATTTTGGAAAACAAAGATCTGTAAAGTAACAATACTATTAACAAACTAACCAAATATATGTAGATAAAAACATATACTTTTCTAATATAAACGATAGTTTCAAAAGTTTGTCAGAATTATTCCAATTATTTATTTACGTTTAGAAAAATGTAGAATAAATCTATTAAAATAGATTCACATTTAAAAAAAAAAACACTAATGATTCTTTACTTACTGCACTCTCTTTCCCTCCATCATTTTTTCTCGATAAAAATATAATTATGATATAATTTCAAAAATTAATTTAAATTCATAGCTTCTAATCTCTCTAATAATATTACATAATTAAGGGCCAACGCGTCGCCAATTCAGACAGGGAAGCCCATAAGGTCGATTGTGCATGCTATCTTCCATTCATAAGAAATTATATTGCTCTCCTCTTCTTAAACACAGTGCAAACAAAGCTAGAAATATAAAAATTGTAGTTTATATAAAATAACAATCGGTTCGAAAGATCCTCCGAATTAAAACCCAACGATATTTGGTTCACCCCGAAAAACACAAACTGACCGTTCTGAGCACTGAACTCAAGCATCATCAGAACAAAAAAAGACATCACACTGCATAAAAACAAAAAGACGAGAAGTCTCACGAAATAGAAACATTAGACTATTCCAAGACATCTTAATATATACTCCATTATTTACAGGTATTTGGGGGACTTAAGGATTTTTGAACTGTTCCAATTATATACCAATAAATTGATTAATTATATTTGTCATAATTTTAGATAATATTTTTTTTCCATAATGTCAGTTTTCAGTTAATGAAAATTCAAAGTAAAAATAAATAAATTATATTTATTTTTATTTACTTTGTGGCGACGTTTCAGCCTAAATTTTCAGTGTTGTCACTCGTCCAATACCCTTTGAACGAGAGCGTGGCACTTAAGACGAAACCTCGGCACAAATGAAATTTTACGAAGGATTTTGGATTGTAGGATTGGATACGAGAGGAATTCGATGGTTTAGTGGAGCCCCAAAGCTCAATTCCGTAAGTCCAAATAGGTCTTATTATTGTCAAATATATGAGTCGTTTGTAATTGATTGCGAGCTTAGAGCGTTTTTCTAGTAAGTGCTGCAGTAGTCAAAAATAAATGTAATATTAATTATACTGAAACCCCCAACTAGTCTTGAATATATCTTCGACAGACAATAATTATCCACTTATCATGTTTCTTGGAATTAATTTATAATTCAAGTTTTGTTTTTTGAATAATTATTCTATTTTATTAATTACACTTAAATTTCATCCTTATTCCACGAATGAATACAAATTATCTTTCAATTATTAACGACTTATGTTTTAATGTTACTAATACTAATTCGCCCAACTGGGTTAAATATATTATTTAGAGATTTAAGAGAGATAGAATATAGAATCTTATAATATCATGTTATAACCATTGGCTAAACTTAGCCTCCAATTTACTTCTGAAGAGGGTTTCATAAAATGTCATTGAAATAAATTTACAAAAAATTAGCTCCAACGGCAATCGGCCAGTTTCTAAACCTGATACCGCTTCCTTCACTGAGGACACGGCCGCCTCAAATTATTTCTGCCTGAGTCAGTCTTGTGGACATAAATACCCCTCGGGATATGTGGGATTAACATGGCGACAACCGAAATATATATTTGGTGTGTAATCCAACCCCTTCGAAATCCCTTTATATATATTTATATATTTTTCTTATGTATCCTTCATGTATTCATTTTGAAATAAAGTGTAACAATACCGGAACATGTTGACGCACTGATTGACTCATAGAACTATATTTAAATTTGTGCAGTACCAGTTATGCAATGGTTTAGGCCAATTAAAGTAAAACTATAGATAATGAATATATTATCATTAATGATAACTCGTATTACTGATACTCAATATTTCACAGGAATAATTGTTTAAATATTTACTTCCATAAAAGTCCGATTTCAGTAACCGACTAAGTAAAAAATATCTATGTTTGTTACAAATTTAAAACACATAAAAATCTTGCAACATAAGAACATATGAAGTCAGTTACCTATATATTTTTTCCATTCTTAGTCCATATATATGTCGAAAATAGTGAGAAAAATTATTTGAAATTTATTGTAAAGAATTTCGATAATATTTTTTTTCTCACAAAAATGAATAATTTCTGAATCAATTACGTTACCATATTTTTTTTCTAAGGATGATTAAATTTTTTTCATTTATTTTATTTTTTACGAAATCCGTAATAAAATGAAAAAATCTGGAGCGCATCTCACACAATTTCAATTGCTACTTTACCTTAAGTAGAAATAATTTTTTTCTCAAGTAGGTCTACTTAGTTAATCTTTATACATTATTTATCAGTGTTTTCCGTTTCACCATAAACACTAAAAGGAAAAACGGATAACATACTAAGGAGCGATGCAATTAACCACCTTTAGCATGAAAAAAATATATGTTAATATAGTGGATTAAGAAATAATATTTACAAAAGTTATTAGCACAAATTTGAAACAATTTTTCTTGCCATTTCCGACTGATAACAAGGAATCCGTAGGTACCAGATTTCATATGTTTTCATTTGCAAGAATTTTGTATGTAAATGTTTCAAATTTACAATATAAAATTTTTGAATTTAACAGTGAATCTCAGAACTGGGACATCCTTTCATGAAAATAACCTATAATGAAATAATTATTCCGCCTAAAAATAATTATTGAAACAAATATGTAATGTTAATTTTGTATGGTTTTTAATTAACAATAATATGTTCCATTTTCCAATTTTGAACTTTTTTTCTTAAATTATTCTTCTCACTATTTTTTTGCCTACAGGTGGATTCAATAGGATGATCACACTTAGTATATTGATTATTATTTATTAATGTACGTTTCGGGAAAACTCTTCAGCATATATGCCCTAGTATTGGGTGTCTTAATTATCAATAAATTTGGTCAGGTCACTGTTTGATCAACTGAAAAGATTTTAAAACCTACGCAGATTTTGCAGATAAACCTTTTTTTAAAAAAATAAGTACGATTGCTTTATTGAATCGATCTAAACGTGAAAAATGACGAAATAATATATTCGTTACATTCATGAGTTTTAATTTGATTGGCGTAAGCAATCGTTTCTACTGAAAGTCCCATCCAGTATAAAGAGGTTAATATTTTTTTTTTGCAAATTCTTTAGAATTATCCAAATGTTTTAACCAAATTTATTTCCCTGGGTCATAGACTTCACCAGGGGTCTCCAAACGGGGGCCCACGGATCCGTCAAAGTTTCTCTGATTACATGATAAAATTTTAAAAACTAAGAAATTTCTCAGACAAGAGGTTACTACATTTATTGTATTGTTTTTTTTTTCTTTAGAAACAAAAGTTAAACTCATTAACAAAAGCTTTGACAGTTTTGTTTAACAAATGTTAAACAAAACTGTCAAAGTTAAACTCATTTAACTATGACAGTTCAGTCATCTATAAAACAATGGCGGAGGTCTCAATGCGGCCCGGCCCGGAGGACTTACTGAAGGTCTCATCGTGGCCCACTGGCCAAAAAGTTTTGAGACCCCTGGACTACACAATTTACTTTTGAGTGTAGCTAGTTTTAGCGCTCCCTTCCATCTTGATATGTTCAGTACATCATCATCAATATATTCTCCCCTCTAGTACCGGCTATGCAGTGTGAGGAGGAAGTCTTTAGAGCTTTCTCCAGCTCTAATCCTGGAGCCCGTGGCAAAAAAGATGACATATTTTATACTAAGCTTTGTCCTTATTAAGTGACCATATCCACAGACCTAATGAGAAAAATGCAAGTCTGCCAGTATATAGCCACTGGAATACAAAATAGCGGCCAAGTGAATATAAAACAGACCCTACATAGGTTGTGAGCGTATATATAGAAAGAGCTTATAGATATATAAAGCTACCAACCCTTTCAATTTATGGTATTTACAGTCTTAAGACCTGAAATAATAGTCAGTGACTCCACGAGGGCTGAAGCCCTCCTCCCCCCAAATGGCACAGGCTGATCTACGGGGGGGGGGGGGGAGGAAGGCTTTCGGCCTGAAGTCCCCACAACATGGTAAAATATAACCTTGTTTTACTGAAAAAAATATTAAAAACTATCTCTTAAAGTATTCTTGTTCGTGTAATTACATTTAATAGGACTTCAAGAACAACTTAAACACCATTTCATATTGGTAGTTAATTTCTTTCTTTTTTTTTTCAAATTAATAATCATTATATGTATATGAAAAAAAAATCTTTCGGACTAAAGGTCCCCCCCCCAAATTAAATCCTGGATCCGCCAGTGCCAAATGCTAACATATAACCATGTTTTATGGGAAAAAATATTGAAAAGTTACCTCTTAACGTATTTTGGTTCGTATTTTTGAACACTAGTTACATTGAAAAGGACTTCAGGAATCACTTAAATACCATTTCATATAGGTAGATAGTTTATTTCTTTTTTTTCCCAAAGTAACTATCGTTATTTTTATGAAGAAAAAAAGCTTTCGGGCTGAAACCTCCCCAAAATTAATCCAATAGTGTATGTTATCTTGATGTTGCCTTGTTATGTGATCTTACAGACAGATTAAGGCTGTATGATATCGAAAATTGCGAAAAATAAGTTTTTCTGTATAGTTTCAGAGTTTAATCATTAAGTTATAATTGCTCTAGCCTTTGAATGGATCAAGAAGATAAGATAGTATCTACAATCTGAAGATAGTATCTATGATCTTATTATATCTGATATAATAAGATAGTATATATATTCTTAAAGAAAATTTAATATTAAACTACTCTTTTCCTCATGACATTTTCGAAAATCGAAATTTAAAGAGTTGGCGAGCCAAAAAATGACAAAAATGCGACGCAAAAATTTATTTTGCGGATATCACGAACGGACGGATATCACGAAAACTATCAAATATAACGAAAAAAACTTAAGCTTTAATTTTACATTTCACATTATTATAGATAGAACGCATACTGATAAA